ACGTCAACATGTCCGTCAGACAGGGTTCACCTGACCTCCACCTCATTTCATGGATCAGTGATCAAGGTTAAAGTTTGTTGGTCAAGTTTCATCTGACCTTGACCTTTATTTCTTGTTTCATTGAACAATGTTTAGTTTTTGTGGTTAGATCTATTTCTCAGATACTATAAGTCACTATATTTGGTGTATGAAATGATTGTGAGGTTTTCCTGTCTGTCTGGCAGTTTCATATGACCTTGTCCTCATTTTCATGATAAATTGATCACTTAATTTTTAATTTTTTTCAGTTTATCATGTACATTAATCATCAATAGGTCAACTATATTTGATGTATAGAATGATTGTAAGGTGTACATCTGTCTGGCAGATTCATCTGACCTTGACCTCATTTTTATGGTTCATTGGTTAGTGTTAATTTTTCATGGTTTTCTCAGTTTATCAGGTACATTAAGCAATAGGTCAAGTATATTTGGTGAATGAATTGATTGTAAAGTGAACATGTCTGTGTGGCAGGGTTCATTTGACTTTGACCTCATTATTATTATTCAATTATGATTAAAAAATAAGTAGGCGACACATTTCAGCATGTGCACTCTTGTTTTTCTTCTGCTCTGAAACTACAAATCCAATTCAAACACAATTTGGCATGAATATTGTTTGAAAGATCGTTTCTACAATTTCTTCATTGTGTATTGAATGGTTAAATTTGTTTGCAACATGTTATCTTTCACTCAGATTAATCAATTTGTCCTCTGATTTGCAAGACTAAATCTTTTGAAAATTAAAAGGAATGGTGATTGGGAAATCCTTTTACATTGATTTTTCATTTGAGTGCTGATTAGATGGAAAATATAGGTTCCCACTGAATTTAAACCCCTAAAAAAATTATATGTTCACCTGTTTTTTAGAAACTGTAGGATCCATCTACATGATAGACTTGCTAGAAATAATTAATGTGAATTCTTCTTTTTTTTAAATCATTCTTATCAGGAAAAAAAGTTGTTGCTGATAGATAACTATTTCAAACATCTTTCTTTATGAAAGAACAAAGAATTCCTTTCAAAATTTATAGCATTTCTGATGGGTAGACCCTATATAAAGAATTTTCATTCACAATTATAAGGTGGCATAAATAGTAGATGTCATATATACTCCCATTTTACACTACTTATCTTTATCTGTGAAGCTATAAGTATGATCTGAACCAAACTTGCCAAAATGATGTAATTTCTTATAGGATCGGGGGGAAATTCACAGCTGCCAATAACTGTTTTTGACTTTGATTTGTCAATTTTCAAATTTCCTCTCTCTGAAACTCCTGTACAAAGTTTCAGACCTTATAGGTTTATGACTTGAAGTACTTGTAATATGTTTTACTTTGACCTAAAGGGACTGAGAGGTGTTTTCTAGGCTGTGGCAATTAATGTATTAAGTGCAGAAATAATAGGAAATAGAGACAAGTAAATATTGCATAAAGTAAAGCATTGGGAACCTTTATATTTTGGATTAAAAAATTGTTCTTTGATTAAAAAATTGTTCTTTGATTATTCATTCTTCATATCAAACTATAAAGTTTGGATCTAGAAAAATACTTCTATTGTTGGCTATGGGAAGACAATTCTTATTTTTTATGCAATCTTAAACCCCTACTATATTTAATGGTGTTGTCACATTAAAATGGGTCTGTATGTAGTAACTTGAGAACATGCATGATGCATGTAATTTTAGAAATTTCTTTAGGGAAAGAAGATTTGATTACTTGTGAATTTGTGTTTATTGAATGATCATTACGTCTGCAACTAGAGGCACTCCATTAATTTTTTCGTGACTAGTTAAGTAATAAAACCTTATCATTGATGTGGTGAATACAAAATTAAGATTATAAAAAGTCACGTTTTGCCTCAGACCTTGAGAAATATAATGATTTCAAAGTTTTTATTGGAATTATCGCGGAAAATTTATTGAGCTTTAGATTTTTTTCTTCTGCTAACTTTGATATAAATATAAATACTGTCTGGTTCTATAAGGAAACGATTATAGGGGTAATTACAGCATTGTCATAACACGTGCTGCTAAAATCTACATTGAATTTATGATAAAAGAACAATAAGAGGAGTTAAATTATTGCCAACTCAACTTTCAGGCACCAATAAATCATAGCTGTTGTTTGTTGTTAGATATTTTTGAATAAGATCTGTTAAAAAAGAAAGGTTTGCTGTAATCAACTGAATATTAATGAGTAACAGCACTTTAACTGTTTGAATTAAGGCAATTTTTTTACATAATGCGCACTAACTCCATTATGCCAGGATTACTTGCCATAAAACTTGGGATTGATAAGGAAGCTCCCTTTTGATTTTTTTAATTTTCTGCTTTTTCATTCCAGAGTTACATGACTTTCTTTGACAGTCAGATAAATGAAAGTCATTTTTTTTAAATGTCATGCACTATTCTAGTATGCTTGGGTAAAATTTCTACAAACGCTGTTCATTGGGACTTATGAATTTTGACTCGCTGTTGATTTTGAAAATTGTCTGGTTTGTCATTTCAGAGTGATTGGACTTAAATTGATTGACACAATACTTCATGTTCAAGTATCCTCATGCATATTTTACTACAGAGCCATTTTATTTGCTTCTGATTAAATGCCTTCTAAATATCCCATTTTATTTCTGCAACAATTTCAATATGTATAATAAGGGTGTATCTTGGTGCAGTTGCTTAATTTATATAGAGTCAATACAGCCAGACCAAAGTTACAGTTTGTTACCTCCTTATTGGAGTTATATTACCTATTGTCAATTTTGCAATGTTTCATGTTGGTCTTTCAGTAGATTACAAGAAAACATTGAAATCTGTTTGTGTTTGTCAGTTAAACACCATATTTTAAGCGTATTTTTGAAAGCCTGTTCTGATTATTGTAATTCATAATTTACATGAAGTTTGCGTTTATTGATGTGAAGGTTTGAGGACTTAAAAACTGTAGGATTTATCCACTGCAAACGTTTGAATGCACATTATTACGTGTCTTTCACTAGTATCCCTATGAATTTCAAATAATTGTCATTTCTGAATTAATACAACAAATTTATTGTCGAGTTAGTATAACAAAAATATTCTCAACTTCAGATTGAAGGCGCCTTTTTGATAAAGTAATGTTAGTGAAGTAATGAAATTTGATAAACCAAAATTGACTGTTTGACTTAATTGTATTACACTCATTGAACATTGGAGAGTCATGTAATTTAATAACTGTTTTAAGAACTTGTCTTGAGAACCTTTTTATCCTTTAGTTTTTATGTTTTTGATTAAGGCATTTCATTTAAGGTTTGCCATTAGTATTGAAATGAAATTGAATTTATCAGATAATGACATCTAGGGAATTATACAATGCTGGCCATAAAACTTTATTTTCCTGGAATTTATCTGATTTGTGGCATCTTAAGGTTTAAACAGCATCACTGTCAAACCTGATTTTCTTGAAAATTTGTATTACTTTGTCTTCGGTTTGTTTTTCTTTTTTCTTTCTGTGTCTGTATAAAAATGGAAATTCTTGTGATTTTCTAGATAAGTGCCTGTATTTCCTGTGTTAGGTTATGAAGCTTTAAAATGCATGACCAAATACTATTTCTTCATTGTATCATCTGATTCTTAAGTCACTTGGAAAATAGAAAGAGAAATTACTGTCATCTAAACTTCCAATATTTCATGATCGTTTCTAATTTACTTGGCTCTATTATTATATCCCGCAGGGAAACTGGATCTTTGATCTGTCACGGGAGAGTCTTTCAATGCCTGACCTTAACTCATTAGTCATGCATTTTTAGGGAACCTGGACAATAACATTTCTAATTATGGTAGCGTCTTTAGAATTAAGTCTGAGATAATGATTGGCAGATAGGACATGTAACAGATCGGATATACTGTCTGTATTACTTATATCAGTAATGGAATTTTTAATAGAAATGAGAGATTAGAAGGTGTTTATCTGTAAGAAATTGATTCTTAAATTAAAATTTATTGTCAATGTATTGACTTAGTTTGTCTGTTTTCTTGTTAATGTTGACTGATTTTGTAGGGAGTAGAAGTACATTTGTTTATATATATGAAGACTTTATTTCATAAGTAAAATTGCAGTAAAATTGCAGTTGAACGAATTTTAAGGTAAAGTGTTAGTTTTTGTCTCGTCTGCAATGAGAAAGTAGTGGAATGCAAGACATATATAAGGTTTTGCTTTTCCGGTGGTGTCAACAATTGTTCAGTTTGATAAGAACTACTTCTGATGGATCAATGATATATCTAATTGCATTACTATCAGTACATATCAGTTTGATGACTATTTCAAGTATTTTTGAGGCCTGCCCTCTATGTCATGGTCCAGCAACTTTGAATTAATTAGCAATGTTGCTGCCTATCAGATTATCTTTTTCTACATATCTCTGTGTCAACAGATTATTTAAGCAGAGGTATTAATATTTTATAAGGGAAATATGTCTTTGCAAAATGATTTATATGGTGAAATCTGTCTAAACTAAATATTCTTGTCTGCAGTTAGAGTTTTTAGGTACCTCCAAATCGAAAATAAGTTGGGCAAATTAATTTTCTGATTGTTTACTATCATTTATTTACAAAATACCTTAATAATCTAAACCCTTGCTGTGGTTCATGCTCACATCCCTTTTAGGAAGCCCTGGGTTTGATTCCTGATTAGGTCAAATATTTTAACATTGACATTTGCTGCTTCTCTGTTAATCACACAGCATTTAGGAGTAAGATCAAAGACTTGGAGTCAGAAATATAGGTCTTGGAAGGGTGACATATATTTTCCTGTGAACTGTTACCATGTGAAATGCTTGTTGAAAATTTGCCTCAATGTTGGTATTGTACAAAGCTGAGTTTATTATAGAAGGAACACTTTGTCCATTGAGTGTATTTAAGTATTCCCACCTTTATTATGAGTGGAATGAGTTAATTGAAAGTTTGTTTTTATTTATTTACAGAGCACATTGTCTAGTGATACAGAAAGTGACTCGGTACCCTCCACCCCAACCAGTGGAACATCAGAAGATCCTCTGACAGCATTTGAGGGACATGCTTTACAATATGCAGTTAATTCAATTCAGAACATGTTAGTATTTATGTCAGGCGTAATAGATAAAAGTAACTTTCTTAAGTAGGTTAAGCGGACAGCTCTAAACAGTTCTTTTTCTTTGTAATGGTAAATGGTAACAGAGTCATTGATCAGTAGATTATATCAGAAACTTTTATTGTATTAAACTTACTGTGGATTCATTATTATTCGTTGGATATCAATTTTGGTGGATTTAGTGGTTACAGGGGAACCACAAATTTAAATGTTCAACGAATTACTAATTATCTATAGAAATATATGCAGACATTGTTAAAACCACGATATCAAATATCCAATAAAATGGAAGTTATCCTTAATCTATAGCTCGGAAAATTGGTTTCCATGAAAATAAATGAATCCACAGTTATATGTTTGAGTAAGCCATGAAGATGAATTTTGCTCTCGTCTATTTAATTGAAAAAGAAACATCAATAGCCACAATACTGATAATGATAACAGGAAATCCTTATCTATTGTCTATAGGTCCTCTTCAAGAAGTCTTTCTGCAGTACCTAAAGTGGAAGCCAATGGTCCAGAGAAGAAAGAAGAAAAGAAAGCTGTAAGATTTTCTGTTCGCTCCCTTGGATGGGTGAGAATTGCTGAGGAAGATTTGACGCCAGAGAGGAGTAGCAGAGCTGTTAACAAATGTATCGTAGATCTGACACTTGGTAGAAATGATATCAATGATGTTGTTGGTAGATGGGGAGATGTAAGTGTGATAACAGTAGATCTGACTCTGGGTAGAAATGATATCAATGATGTTGTTGGTAGATGGGGAGATGTAAGTGTGATAACAGTAGATCTGACTCTGGGTAGAAATGATATCAATGATGTTGTTGGTAGATGGGGAGATGTAAGTGTGATAACAGTAGATCTGACTCTGGGTAGAAATGATATCAATGATGTTGTTGGTAGATGGGGAGATGTAAGTGTGATAACAGTAGATCTGACTCTGGGTAGAAATGATATCAATGATGTTGTTGGTAGATAGGGAGATGTAAGTGTGATAACAGTAGATCTGACTCTGGGTAGAAATGATATCAATGATGTTGTTGGTAGATGGGGAGATGTAAGTGTGATAACAGTAGATCTGACTCTGGGTAGAAATGATATCAATGATGTTGTTGGTAGATGAGGAGATGTAAGTGTGATAACAGTAGATCTGACTCTGGGTAGAACTGATATCAATGATGTTGTTGGTAGATGGGGAAATGTAAGTGTGATAACAGTAGATCTGACTCTGGGAAGAAATGATATCAATGATGTTGTTGGTAGATGGGGAGATGTAAGTGTGATAACAGTGCAGTTATTGACTGGATTAGGTTCTAACTTCTTTTATGTTTGACCCAAATACCAAAATAAAATAAGGAGATGTGGTATGATTGCCAATGAAAAAACTATCCACTGAAGACCAAATGATGAAGGTGTTGGCAACTATAGGTCACTGTTAGGCCTTCCACACTGAGGAAAACCCATATCAAATAGATATGAAAGGCCCAGACATAGCAAAATGTAAAGCAATTCAAAGAGAAAACCAACAGTCTGACTTTTGTTAAGAACAATAAATGAAAAACACATATGGCAGACCACAACCAAAACAACTATTGAATTGCAGGCTCTTGTCTAATAATAATTATAAAGTGAAGCAGTCAATTACCAAATATACTCATCATAGAAAAAATGCCTTTTAAAAGATCTTTAATGATATGTAACAAAACAATTGAACATTGCTGTACTCTTAGGACATCTTGTTTTTAATTTTACATATTGTATGATGATTTTTCAATTGTTCTAATTTTATATAATCATAGGGAAAAGATTTGTACCTTGATCTAGACAGGGATAGTTTACGTTTAGTAGACACTCAAGATTTCATTGTAATTAATGTACAACCGATACAGTCCATCAGAGTATGGGGAGTAGGAAGAGATAATGGAAGGTATGTACACAGTTTACCCCTAAATATACTGGTAGATTGTAATTGTAAAATAGGCTCAAAGTTGACCTTAGATGAACTTGACAATTTTTAGGTCCCTTTTGTTCAAATAGCTCTTTATGGTGTATGTCTTATACATCCTTGGCTTTCAAATGTTTTTAGCATTCCAGATGAAGGTAAATCCAGAAGAGTGCTTGGAATGCATGAAATTTATCAACTGTTAGATTTCATTTAATAGTCAAACAGAAAAAAAAACTGTCAAATATTTATTATAAATCATAAAAAATGTCAGTGCATATATGACTTGCCTCCAAACAACTAATTTGTATAAATGTTTATTTTTTATTGCTTTAATCAGAGAAAGGTAAATTTATTGTTGTACTTTTATTGTTCATTATTATTTGTCCATCTTTTTTATATTTATTGTCAGGTTTTTTCTACCACATATAGATGTTGTTCCTATTTTTTTTTTTTACAGGCAGATCTCTAATTTAATAAAAAAGGATCAAATTTTTGAGAGTGGAGTAAAATTGTTATTAATAATTTCAAACTTGCAACTTACACTTAAAATCACACTCTAGATTATTTCTTGTGACTTTAAAACATATATTCAGGTCCTTGTCACTGAAAAACCTGTACTTTAGTAAATTTCAATAATCTGCATACACAAGATTTTTGAAATGTGAGTTTATAATTCTGTTTTCAGAGGTTCAGTCAATTACATAAAAAAACATTTTCAACTTTCTTTTAACTGTTATGTATACGATTGAATAATTGCTGCCAATTACATAATGAATTCATTGTTAATTATATAAATAACAATCAACAAAACTAAGTCCAGTACACAAACATAAAAGTAACAACCTATATGTTAAACAAAAATGAAAATGCACACAATTTATTATACTTTTTGCTCTTGACATATTTTGTTTGAATAGCATCAGTTTTTGTTCACAGAGATTTTGCTTATGTTGCCCGGGACAAGACTACAAGAAAACACATGTGTCATGTCTTCCGCTGTGACAATCCTGCCAGACAGATTGCCAATACATTACGAGATATTTGTAAACAATTGATGATGGAAAGAAGACTCCAGCAGGCTGCAGTTGAACAACGATTGTCTAGACCGACAGACTTGCCAAATTTAGAGATAGCTGGTCAACAAGGGAACCAAAAAGCTGTATTACAGAGTTTGTTAAGAAGTAAATAGTTTTATTATGTGTAGAACAGATTATGTTAGACTATGGAATACTTGTTAGTAAATGAGTTTGTTAAAATAGAATTGTATAATCACTGTAATTATGTTACTTGTTAGAAGCTTTATGATGGGTAAAGTACCAGAATCATTGAAAATTTATTATAAAAAATCCTTGATACAGGTAACAGTTTATTCTAAAACCAGTTGTTGGCATGATACGGGTTATGTTCTTCTCATATATTATGATGGTATGATACTAAACGGAAATGATTATGCTTGATTTTCATATGATGAAGACATAATCTTTCAATCAGTTTAATTGAGGTCTGGAGCTGGCATGTCAGTAACTGCTAGTAGTCCTTTATTAATTAGTCCCCTACCGACGAAGTCAAAGGGGACTTTAGGTTTGCACTCAGTCTGTTTGTCTGTCTGTCTGTCCGTCCATCTGTCAGTCCTGCAAATCAGTTTTCCACGTTACAGATCAAGTTTGAATTTTGTTCCGGTCTGATGATTTTGTGCAGAGCTATGGTCCTTGGACTTGGAAAATTCATTTAAATAATAAGTTTTCCACACTTTTTTTTTTGTCATGCTTGAAGATATTGACTTGATATTTGTTATACAGTTTACACCATGACAAGTTATAGATCAAAAGTAAAATCACAAAAATACTGAACTCTGAGGAAAATTCAATCGGAAAGTCCCTAATCACATGGCAAAATCAAATGACAAAACACATCAAACGAATGGACAACAACTGTCATATTCCTGACTTGGTACAGGCATTTTCAAATGTAGAAAATGGTGGATTGAACCTGGTTTTATAGCGCTAAACCTCTCACTTGTATGACAGTCTTATCAAATTCCGTTATATTTATATTTACAACAATGCATGAACAAAACAGACATTATAAATAAAATAGTCAAAATATGGGTACAGCAGTCATCACTGTGTTACAATATCAAAACAAACAATTATTTACAAAAAAGCACAAAAGCATCTATCAAATTAAAAACCACATTCATTGCTTCGCGTGTCTGACGTCAGAAAATGTAAACATCACATTAGAAGAAATTTTGTCATTCAATGTTTATTCAAACAATTTTATAATTTCACATGGGGAATGTTGGTATACAGGGTTAAAAAATCAAAAGTTATGTTAGAATTAATTTCAGAAATAGACCGAGATTTAAAATTGTCCAGAAGTTCTTTAGAATTTTTAAGAATCCACATATGGTTAATACCACTACACGAGTAAAATAAATTTGTCGTTTGTCGTTCAAAGTATTTTCAAATTTTTAATAGAACAATAACATAATAACATATAATCAAGTTAGCATATTGTTCCAGTACAATGAATTTTTAACTGGTAGGGGACTATGTATTGCCATGCAATACTCTCAGAATGCTTGTTTATGTATCATTGTCATTTTGCTTAGTTTCTTTTGTTACCTATTCTGACATCTGACTCAGACTTCTTTTAAACTGAATTTACTGTGCGTATTGCTGTGTGTTTGTTAGGGCCCTGCCGAATGGCGGACGCCCTATAGTGATCAATCTGTCCGTCTCTCCGTCTGTCCGTCCGTCTGTCTGTCCGTCCGTCCGTAACAAATTGTGTCCACTCTATATCTAGAGAACCGTTATGATTTAAATGTTTATACTTGACATGTATATTAACCAACACCAGAGGGTGTGTCATAATGTATGTACAAATTCCTAGGTCAAAGGTCAAGGTCAAAAACTTTGGTTTCAGTTGAGAACCCCATGTCCTATGGTAAAGATCGTGTCCGCTCTATATCTTGAGAACCGTTATGATTTCAAAGTTTATACTTGACATGTATATTAACCAACACCAGAGGGTGTGTCATAATGTATTTTCAACTTCCTAGGTCAAAGGTCAAGGTCAAAAACTTTGGTTTCAGTTGACAACCCTATGTCCTATGGTAAAGATCGTGTCCGCTCTATATCTTGAGAACCATTATGATTACAAAGTTTATACTTGACATGTATATAAACCAACACCAGAGGGTGCGTCATAATTTATGTACAACTTCCTAGGTCAAAGTTCAAGGTAAAAAAATTTGGTTTCAGTTGACAACCCCATGTCCTATGGTAAAGATACAAATTCTTTAACGCTCATTCTACACAGCGGGGCCCACAGAGATGGCTCCAATCTCAATGATATCTAGTTTATTCTACATTGGCTAGAGGTATAGGGGAGGTTTGAGATCTCACAAAACATGTTTAACCCCGCCACATTTTTGCGCCTGTCCCAAGTCAGGAGCCGCCTCTGACCTTTGTTAGTCTTGTATGTTTTTAAATTTTTGTTCATTTATATGTTTGGAGTTTAGTGTGACGTCCATTTTCATTGAACTAGTACACATTTTTGTTTAGGGCCAGCTGAAGCCCACCTCCAGATGTGGGATTTTCTCGCTGTGTTGAAGACCCATTGGTGGCCTTCAGCTGTTATCTGCTCTTTGGTCGGGTTGTTGTCTCTTTGACACATTCCCCATTTCCATTCTCAATTTTATATAGGTTATTTATTATATTTACAGGTGCATCATTCCCCACACCTATGGAGGAACCAAAGAAGGTCATCAGATGTCATTATATAGGGTGTGAAGCGGTTCTCAAACCTGTTGGTAAGGATTCATACACACTATACTTCGGTACACGATTCAATGATAGGAACCTTTTAGCAATGGAGTAATTCAGAGATTGAACATTTATTCTCAAAATTTTGTTGCACAGTTGAGGTAATATCCAAAGCAATGTGTGTCGCTGCCATATTCCTGACATCTCCTTGAATTCATACTTATATTGTTAACCTGGTATGGTTAATATGAATTAATCTCAATCAATAATATTAAGAAAATTGATTTATTTAACAAAAAATATGGCTGAGAAAACATACAAAAATATTCTCAAACATCAATCTATATTATATAAGTATTTATTGAATTAAACAGGCGTTGAGAGAAATGTGCATTCAGTTTTCTCTAGAGCTGCTTTTCTGATGAAGTTTAACAATGATTAGCATCATAATATTGTATAATCAATTTAATCAATTCAGTTCTAAGTATTCTTTCTTCTTTAGATAGTGTTCTCATCTTGGTTCTCCATAATTCATTCCTTGATTATCTTTAACAAATACCATATTCTACTTGTTCTATCATCAAAGATGAGAAAAACTGATGAACATGCCTGTCTGATTGTGGTACCAACAAATTGATTGACATTGTATTGATATAAGGAATTCTTTTGGATGTGCAATTAAATATGCAGTTTTAATACTAAATTTGTTTTTTTTTGTATAGAAATATGTGGATTTCTCATGGACTGTCAAAATACCTTTGAGGTATCAGAGTTTTCAATTGATTGACTGTTGTTTGGAAATATTGCATGCAAATTATGGACAATTCTTAGTTTTCTGCAAAAAAAATCCATTTCGATTTAAGTTGTTCCTACAAGTTCACAGACTCTCTTCAAAAAAAAAAATAGGAATGGAACACATTATATGTAATATTGATAACCCAACAGTTACTCTTATTTTAGGAACATATATCCTGAATTGAGCTTTTATGGGATCCTATAACAAAGTTCCTCCAGAGAAATGGAACTCTATATATTGGTTTGATATTACAATATTTATTCTTGTTTTAGGTACAGATATCCTGAATGGAGCTATTATGGCATTGTATAACAAAATTCCTCCAGAGAAATGGAAGTTTGTTAATGTTGGAATAGCACCTTCTACAATCACAATTACAGAACATGTATGTATTGTCTTTTTTTCTTGGAAATGGAGAAACTGCTTCAATTTCAGAAATTTGTTCAGTGTATCAAATAAAAGATATAACGGGATAATTAATACATTTGATTAGTATTTGAATTTTAAATTCTTGGCATTGTTTAAAGGCAGCATTGAAGAATTACAATTATTTATCTGGCATTTTTGTTTATTGATTAATAAATATGGATTCTACCACTGCATCCAGTGTGACGGGAAAACTTAAATCGAGACGTTAAATTTTCAAATTTAACCGCAAGTCTTGAGTGGAAAAATATTATATTGCACTAGTATTTGTTGTAGAATCTGTATCTCTAATAATTTTTAGACGATATGCAGAAAGCCTTATTCTTTTTTTTTCCCAATGATCTGTTCCATCTATGTAAGGTCATCAGGCATGGTCGCCTTTTTTCGTGATGTCACAATATGAAATTCAGAGAAAAGCAAGAAAATTTGACCCATGAAGATCTGAGATCAAACGAAAAAAAAAAAATCAACAGGTCAGGAAAAGGATTGGCTCAGAATTAGAGAAATCTATTTATAAGTGTATGAAATAACATCTGAATTTACCCATTATTGCAGCAATCTTTAGTCAAAGGAACAAACTGTTATTGCAGGATAACAAAATGGAAGCCCATTAAAAAAACATTTAGGAGCAAGATGTCTGATTTGTAAACTGAATGCACTGTTTGCCACATGTATAGACTGTTCACTGAAAGCAAATGAAATATGAGTAAAAAAGGTTTGAGATATACACAGTGGATGTGAGAAAGCAACTGCAAGACACTCTCACAAATAACCAATACATGTAGAGGTCGAAAAGCTGTTTATCTGAATTATTAAGAGGTCAGATGGCTGTTTAACTGAATAATTAGAGGTAAACAAAAAAAGCCAGAAGATACCAAGGTGACATTCAAAACTCAGGTTGAAGAAAACTGACAACACTCTGCCAAAGAAAACTGACAACACTATGCCAAAAAAACAAAAGACAAACAAATCCACAAAACATCACATAGAAAACTAAAGACTGAACAACATGAACCTCAACAATAACTGGGGGGGGTCTCAGATTGTCTGGTTGGGTAAGTCAGATGGCTGTTTAACTGAATGTACATGTTGGGACATTTTATTGTACTTCTTACAAGTATGAATAGCATCATCTTCTAGCCTGAAAATGAGAGTTATAAAAGTAGTATAGATATTTTCAGAATATAGGCTGGAAAGAGATAATTCTTTACTTTTCTTTTTACAGAAAACAGAAGTTAAGCTGGATGAATGTCGTGTCAGATTTCTATCCTTTATGGGAATAGCTGTTGATAATGTCAGGTATGTTCAGATTTCTATCTTTTATGGGAATAGCCTTTGATAATGTCAGGTATGTTCAGATTTCTATCCTTTATTAATCCCCTACCGACGAAGTTGAAGGGGACTTTAGGTTTGCACTCCGTCCCTCTGTCTGTCTGTCTGTCTGTCTGTCCTTCTGTCAGTCCGGCAAATCAGTTTTCCACACTTTTTTTCTTCATGCTTGAAGATATTGATTTGATATTTGGTATATTGTTTTATCATGACAAGTTACAGATCAGGTTCGAATTTTGTTCCGGTCTGATAATTTTGTGCAGAGTTATGGTCCTTGGACTTGGAAAATTCACTCAAATAATTAGTTTTCCACACTTTTTTTCGTCATGCTTGAAGATATTGATTTGATAATTGGTATATAGTTTTATCATGACAAGATACAGACCAAATTTGAATTTTGTTTCGGTTTGATGATTTTTTGCAGAGTTATGGTCCTTGGACTTAGAAAATTCACTTAAATTATCAGTTTTCCGCACTTTTTTTCATCATGCTTGAAGATATTGACTTGATATTTGTTATATAGTTTACACCATGACAAGTTATAGATCAAGTTAGCATTTTGTTCCAGTACAATTAATTTTTAACCGGTAGGGGACTATGTATTGCCATGCAATACTCTCAGAATGCTTGTTGGAATAGCTGTTGATGATGTCAGGTATGTTCAGATTTCTATCCTTTATGGGAATAGCCATTGATAATGTCAGGCAAGTTCAGATTTCTATCTTTTTTTTATTGGAATAGCTGTTGATAATGTCAGGTATGTTCAGATTTCTATCATTTATGGGAATAGCTGTTGATAATGTCAGGTATGTTCAGATTTCTATCCGTTATGGGAATAGCCGTTGATAATGTCAGGTATGTTCAGATTTTTATACGACCGCAAAAAAATTTTTGTGGTCGTATATTGGTATGACGTTGGCGTCGTCGTCGTTGTCTGGCGTCGTCCGGCGTCGTCCGAAGACACATTGGTTTTCGCACTCTAACTTTAGTTTAAGTGAATGGATCTCTATGAAATGTTACCACAAGGTTCAATACCACAAAAGGAAGGTTTGTATTGATTTTGGGGGTTATGGTACCAACAGTAAAGGAATTAGGGGCCAAAAAGGGGCCAAAAATAAGCATTTTTGTAACTTCCAGACATAATTTGTGTGTAAGTGTATGGATCTCTCTGACATTGTACCACAAGGTTCCATATCACAAAAGGAATGCTGGGATTGATTTTGGAGGTAATTACCTCAAAATTTTAGGAATTAGGGGCCAAAAAAAGGGGCAAAAAACAAGCATTTTTCTAGTTTCATGACAATAACTTGTGTGTAAGTGTATGGATCTTTCTGAAATTGTACTACAAGGTTCCATATCACAAAGGGAAAGCTGGAATTGAGTTTGGGGGTAATTGCCAAAACGTTTAGGAATTGGGGGCCAAAAATAAGCATTTTTCTAGTTTCCAGACAATAACTTGTGTTCAAGTGTATGGATCTCTCTGAAATTGTACTGCAAGGTACCATACCACAAAGGGAAGGCTGGGATTGATGATGGGGGTAATTGCCTCAAATTTTAGGAATTAGGGGCCAAAAAGGGGCAAAAAAAAAAAGCATTTTTCTAGTATCAGGACAATAACTTGTGTGTAAGTGTATGGATCTTTCTGAAATTGTACTACAAGGTTCCATATCACAAAGGAAAAACTGGAATTGAGTTTGGGGGTAATTGCCGAAACATTTAGGAATTGGGGGCCAAAAAGGGGTCAAAAATAAGCATTTTTCTAGTTTCCAGACAATAACTTGTGTTCAAGTGTATGGATCTCTCTGAAATTGTACTGCAAGGTACCATACCACAAAGGGAAGGCTGGGATTGATGATTGGGGTATTTGCCTCAATATTTTAGGAATTAGGGGCCAAAAAGGGGAAAAAAACAAGCATTTTTCTAGTTTCAGGACAATAACTTGTATGTAAGTGTATGGATCTTTCTGAAATTGTACTGCAAGGTACCATACCACAAAGGGAAGGCTGGGATTGAGTTTGGGGGTGATGAATCATAAGGGGGTTCAAAAAATTTGGGGGGGGTTTATTTTTTTTTCCTTTTTTTTCTTTCTTCCTTTTTTTTTTCTTTTAAAATTTTCCATTTTAAGTTGGTTATTTCTGATTTATATTTAAAAGCAAATAAGAATGATATGGTAGGAGATACACACCAAACAGGATGTGTAAATTATTATATAATAAGTATTGTGCAATAGCAAGAAATTTTCAATTGCACAGTATTGCACAATAGCAAGAAATCTTCAATTGCACAGTATTGCGCAATAGCAAGAAATCTTCAATTGCACAGTATTGAGCAATAGCAAGAAATATCCAATAGCACAATATTGCGCAATAGCAAGAAATTGTCAATTGTACAGTATTGCGCAATAGCAAGAAATATTTAATTGCACAGTATTGTGCAAAAGAAGATACTTCGTATAAATTGCTTATTTCTTGACCAATTTCAATGGGGTTTTATTCTTGAATTCTTGGGGTTCTTTAATATGCTGAATCTAACCGTGTATTTAGTTTTTGGATTTTGGGCCCCGTTTTTAAATTGGTCCACATTGAGGTCCAAAGGGTCCAACATTAAACTTTGTTTGATTTCATCAAAAATTGAATTATTGGGGTTCTTTGATATGCCGAATCTAACCGTGTATTTAGATTCTTAATTTTTGGTTCCGTTTTCAAATTGGTCTACATTAAGGTCCAAAGGGTCCAAAATTAAACTTTGTTTGATTTCATCAAAAATTGAATTCTTGGGGTTCTTTGATATGCTGAATCTAACCATGTATTTAGATTTTGGATATTGGACCATAAAAGGTGAATGTCCAATTTAAAATTTTTAAGTTCTTAGACCATATTCATTCTGTGTCAGAAACCTATGCTGTGTCAAATATTTAATCACAATCCAAATGCAAAGCTGTATCAAGCTTGAATGTTGTGTCCATACTTGCCCCAACTGTTCAGGGTTCGACCTCTGCGGTCGTATCAAGCTGCGCCCTGCGGAGCATTTTATTATCATTTATGGGAATAGCTTTTGTTTATGTCAGGTATGTTCAGATTTCTATCCTTTATGGGAATAGTCGTTGATAATGTCATGTATGTTCAGATTTCTATCCTTTATGGGAATAGCTGTTGATAATGTCAAGTATGTTCAGATTTCTATCTTTTATGGGAATAGCTGTTCATAATGTCAGGTATGTTCAGATTTCTATCTTTTACGGGAATAGCCGTTGATAATGTCAGGTATGTTAAGATTTCTATCCTTTATGGGAATAGCTGTTGATAATGTCAGGTATGTTCAGATTTCTATCTTTTATGGGAATAGCTGTTTATAATGTCAGGTATGTTCAGATTTCTATCTTTTATGGGAATAGCTGTTGCTAATGTCAGGTATGTTCAGATTTCTATCCTTTTATTGGAATAGCTGTTGATAATGTCAGGTATGTTCAGATTTCTATCATTTATGGGAATAGCCATTGATAATGTCAGGCAAGTTCAGATTTCTATCTTTTATGGGAATAGCTGTTGATAATGTCAGGCAAGTTCAGATTTCTATCATTTATGGGAATAGCTGTTGATAATGTCAGGTATGTTAGGATTTCTATCCTTTATGGGAATAGCTGTTGATAATGTCAGGTATGTTCAGATTTCTATCTTTTATGGGAATAGCTGTTGATAATGTCAGTTATGTTCAGATTTCTATCCTTTATTGAATTAGCTGTTGATGATATCAGGTATGTTCAGATTTCTATCATTTATGGGAATAGCCATTGATAATGTCAGGCAAGTTCAGATTTCTATCTTTTATAGGAATAGCTGTTGATAATGTCAGGTATGTTCAGATTTCTATCATTTATGGGAATAGCTGTTGATAATGTCAGGTATGTTCAGATTTCTATCATTTATGGGAATAGCCGTTGATAATGTCAGGTATGTTCAGATTTCTATCATTTATGGGAATGTTATGACAGGTATGTTCAGATTTTAATCATTTGTAGGAGTATCTGTTGATAATGTCATGTATATTCAAGGTCATTCGTAATCAATGAACAATGTATAAAGATAAAATGCTCATGAAACATTTCGTTTCTGTAAATTTTTAATATAGACCCATATGAATGAAATCAAGACAAAAAATTTACACTGCAAATGTTGTTTCGGGGAATAAAAAAAAAGAATCAAGAAATAATATCCCAAGACCATAAAATGTTCATAACAAATACTGTTTCAGTAAATTAGTTTAAAGAAAAATTGTTTAAAGAAGGAAGGCACTAGAGTTAATTAAAAAGAACAGATTATTTAAGAAAATATTGTGTTATTGTGGAAGTAAACAAATCATAAAGGGTAATTATTTTGCCAAGTTAAATTACACCAGTTCTTTTATCTATTTATTATTCTGTTTAATCATATCTTTCTAACTTTATTTTTCATATTTAGGTTATGTGGTTTTATTATACATGGACCAGAGGATCAGTTTAATTGTCATGTATTCCATTGTGAACCATCAGCAGGGGCACTGTGTAAAACAATAGAGGCTGCTTGTAAGGTTAGTTCACAATTAATGGAAATATCCCACATTTTCATTAAAAAATTAAATAGAAATACTGTTTTATATTTTTCATGTTTCAGACAGGATGATATGTTGCATTTCTGAAATTACAATAAAAATCTGCTGAATAGGCCTTCAAATCACTTTAGTCATGTTGATTTGTGCAAAAAAAACAACTAAATATTGAGAATGTCCCAGATATTGGTTATATTACTTTTTATCAACAATTTGTATATTATCCCTTTGATCTTACTGACTAATATTTTTTTATAACATGGACAGGACCTGATACTCAAAAATATTAGAGAATAATGTCACCTAACATTGCAGCAACATCACACATTCATGTCCATTCGCATCAATTTATCAATGAAATGCACGCAAATTCATACAACCAAACAATTGTCACAAAGTTTTGTACGTGTAGAAATAGTTTCACGAACTGTTTCATTTTATTTCATATTCTCAACCTGAAAACATGTTGTTAAGACAAAATTGCCGATAAAAAGAATAATGACATTTCATTATCTCATACTGACCTCATCAGCTGGCCTAATATTCTTGCTGATTAAGTTAGGATCAAAAATAAAAATGCCATTCTATATGTATTATACACAATATTTGTAATAACTTTTTGTCTGGCCTGCTACCAAAGTCATGAAGGCTAGACAAAGCAATCCTAGGTTCTATCAGGGTCTGTGTTGTGAAGTTTAAACAATTAGATTGAGTCTATAGTTAAAGTTTGTGTAGACATCAACGACTTTGTCAGACTTTTAAGTTATTTTTGAAACCTTGAAAGATGATTTTGTAGTATGTCTGGAGCAAAACTTGAAAAAAAAATGTTTTCATTATTTTTTGTTTTTTTTAGATGAATATTTTTTTTTTTCACGAACATTTAGATATAGTCTGGCAAAAAATATTCAAAATAACATTTTTAGATTTTCACGAACATTTAGATATAGTCTGGCAAAAAATATTCAAAATAACATTTTTAGAAATAATTTGGAAATGTCCACTGTATGTGCAACTATGTTACAAATCACATCGTCCCTTGGGTGTAGAATTTACAGCAGACGTCAATCAATCATAAGTGGCGTAACTGGTACATGTAATATTGCATTAGAATACATATTTACATAAGTAATTTGATGTACTTAACCGAAAAAAAAATTAATTAAAATGAAATATGAAAAAAAAAAAGTGTGAGGGAAACCAAAATTTTGAAACTCTGATGAGACAAATATATTTCTGGGTATATAGATAATGATTGTAATTGACAACCTTCTCTTTACAGCTTAGATATCAGAAGTTATTAGATGCCAATCCTACCACCCCTACTAACAGTAATAAAACAGACAACAAGGTAAAAACACGGTTCATTGTTAAGGTATAGATTGTACAAAGTGCAATAAAAACCCTAGTGTCACTAGCTTGATTTTATGTTGCATATTTAGCTTTTCAAAGATACCCAACATTTTGTGCAGTGAAGTGAACATTTTGAAGATCCTATCCATTCCAATGTTTAGCAATTTATTAGTAAAATATACTCAGATATTCAAGTTACAAAATAATGTCTATAACAATATTTGTAGAGAAAAATATTTTATCTTATTTGATAAAAAAAGCGTACATAGCAGAAAGTAGTGCACAGTTTATGAATACATCTGTGCTACCAACAACTATGAACAAAGGGAGATAACTCAATTCAAAATATTGGTTGAATTTGTTCCTTATCTTACTACAATGCAATGTATAAATTTAAGTTCTCAATACAAGATGAAGCCAATCTTTACTCAATAAGATATGTTCTGTAACATTAGACAAGTGTCTATACCATATGTCAAACTCTAAATATGTAAATATGCCTCAAGTTTGATTTTCATTGTTGCAACCAGTAAATGTATTGAAATGTTGTCTGTTTTGTGTTTATGTCTTCTTTGATGCAGTCAAAACTTCACTCAGTTATTACCCATTATCTTTAATGTGGTAACCTTGGATTGCCATTTTTTTCTGCTGAAGGTCATGGTTCTCTCCTCCCCTGCCAATAGTTCATAATTAATAGGAATACAAATTTGTTCAGTTTTCAAGAATGATCAAAAATTTTTTAATAAAAAAAGAAGAAGGGATGGGAAAAGAACAATAAAATGCATTTCATACCATTGTACCACCCAAAAAAAGCCATAGAAACAGACCTTTAAATCTTAAATGACCTAATTTAGATAGCCATTTGGAGGGACAAAACAATAAAGGCCTTTCAATATATCTAGATGGTTGGGTCATAATTTACTCTGGTGTTTCTGGTGTTATATATGTATTCGTGTATGCATTACTTTCACACAGTGACAGATAATTTTTCAAGTTTATTTTACTGTGTCTTATTTTTTTAAATTTTTTTTTTTTTTTATTTGTTTATCACTATGTTGACTTTATGTTGTTTGATGTTGTTCATTTATGTTTAAATGTTGTATTCAATTTTTAGCTCCATCACCTAGGGGCATCAATTTCAGCTGGTTTGAAATCTGGTGCAGAATCTGTTCAGACTAATATTTTACCTGGTATAAAAGCTGGGGCCCAAACAATGCAAACTGGACTTAAAGCAGGGGCTCATACAATGCAAACTGGTGTCATATTCGGATTTCATGGTGTTCAAAATGTTTTCTCCAAGATCAAAACCAAAGTGAGAAAGACAGAGAGCAGCTAGTAATAGGAGAATAGTTAGGATCTTACCACAGCATTAAGTATGTGTTACTTGGAAGATATCTGTCAAGTGAACTATTTCCATAATAATGCAGTGATTAAAGCTCAATGAAAAGAAATCATTTCTACTGTGGATTCATTTGTTTTCATGGATACCAATTTTGTGGATGGAGGAAAACTTATATTTGATTTCGTGGTTTTGCCAAAGTATACAGGCCTCTACAATAATTTTATTTTCAACTTGTCCAGTAGGACAAGTACATACCAAAACTTACTTGTCCGAATGAAATTGTAACTTGTCCAAAAATAATCTTTATAATAACCCTTTTTGCATTTTAAGTTGATTCAAGGAACAAAATGAATTAAAACAATAGAACAGAGTTTGATTTATATCTTTTGAAATACTTTTCAAAAATATGAGTCGAGAACAACTGAATCTAGTCATGTCACAGGACTTAGGTTCTAGTTTTCATTAATGCCAAAGTAGACTCTGCACATGAGGCACTGTCTGATAGGCTTGTCAATGTACACTCATTGGATTTGTATCCTGGTTCTTTAAGTTTAAAAAAGTTTATTCAAATGCAATCAGTAAAAAAAAACAATGAGGTATGATTGCCAATTTGAGACAACTCTCTGCAAGAGACCAAATGACACAGAAATTGACAACTATAGGTCACCGTATTGCAAGTATTGTTTTTTTCTACATATGATCAAATATAATTTCGTGAATTTTATGGTTAATAATTTCTTCATTTTTATTTAAAAAATATTTTTGTTAAAAAAATTACCGGTAAGGTATTCATTATAAAGCAACAGAACAAGGTAGGAAGACGGAAGACGAGGTACTGATGTGTCTTGGTCCTAAAATGTCTCCTGGGTTGCCACACTGTCTATTAATCATGTCTACTAAATATGTCTCCTACGGTGCCAAACTGTCTATAAAACTTGGAGGCGAATGTTTCGTTTCTAAGCTGGTGACAACTGTCTTGTAAAGTTACCTTATCTACAAAGCGCATCGCTGATTCGGATCAGTAAGACTGGTTTCCAAGAATAGTATACCTTTTACCTGTTAAAAGTACCTGACAAAGAACCTGTTTTTAAATTATCGATTGCAAGTAAACATGTCAAATTAATACTTGTTTTTATCTTCTTTTCTTGTTTTTTGTTTATAATTACTTCATCAAAGTTGGATTAAATTTATTTTCTGCAGAATAATTTAACTTGTCCCGTCGGACAAGCTTGATATAGCTTTTACTTGTCCGACCTTTTTTTCCTCTGGTACCGGACAATCGGACAAGCGTTATTGTCGAGCCCTGGTATACATACAAATGTTTAGAAAAAGTTTACTTCATTGAACATTTGAAATCGTGGTTTACCTAATCCCACGAAATCTACGAAAATTGGTATCCCACGAATGATAATGAATCCACAGTATCACATATTTGAAAAAAATATCATTTTTGGCCAAGTGTTATTTTGACAGGAGCAAGATAACTTCACCATAGGACAGGATAGTATTCCACCACATCAATCAGTCATAGTTTCTTCACAAATTATAATGTTTTGTGTGTTTGCTGTTTCTGTTGTTATTTTTTAAGGTTATATTTTTAGCTTGTGCACTTTTAATCAGTGTTGATAGTTCACATGTTACATTATATTTCATTAACCAGATTTTCGAAAGAAAAATCGGTTATTGATTTGGGGATGTACGGCGGGCGGGCGGGCTTTTGCCAAACAGTGTCCGTTCATTAACATGAAAAGGCTTTGACTAAATTTTTTCAAATTTAGATATGTTGTTTCCTGTGACTATATGAAGGTCAAGTTTAATTTTCAAGATTTTAGCTTTTCTCGTTGTTGAGTTATAGCCCTTTCCCAAGAATTCAATTTTTGATGAAATTCTTATTAATTACTCCATTCTGTTCAAAGGGAAATAACTCATTTTTTTAAAAGATTTTTAAAAGACATTATATAAATGATAAATGACATTTTGGATTTTTTATTTCTTTTCTTTGGTAAAATGTTTGAAGAATTTTGTGGTAGGTTTGTTTGTTATTCTTAATAAACTAATTTTCTGAATACTATATATATATATTTTTTTGATGAAGTGAACTCCTTTAATTAAATAATAATCTATTTTTATTAAAGGATATATTTCATTACATTTAAAGTTGATCATATTGATAGATAAGTTGTAGATCTATATTAGTTTGTGACAAATGAAAGAAAAATATTTGGACTATTAATTATATTTGATTATAATTTGAAAATAGATATACATTGTGTAACATCATACCTAATTTAAGAAAATAGTGGTTAAATCATATCTAATTTTAGATAACTATGTGTTTATAATTTATTCAGTTATTTCCTTTTGAACAGAAAATTATATGGATAAAATTAAACTGTGTTTCATTTCATCATAAATTAAATATACATAGGGTTCTTTCAAATGCTGAATCTAAACTTGTATTTAAATATTAGATTTTTGGGCCCAGTTTTCAAGTTGGTCCGAATTAGGGGCCCAAATTAAACTTTGTTTGATTCAACAAAAATTGAATTTATGGGGTTCTTCAAAATGCTGAATCTAACCATGTATTTAGAGATTTTGGATTGTGGGCTCCTTTATCAAATTGGTCCACATTGAGGTCCAAAGGGTCCTAAATTAAACTTTTGTTTGATTTCATCAAAAATTGAATTCTTGGGTTTCTTTGATATGCTAATTCTAACAATGTACTTAGATTTTTGATATTGGACCATAATAGGTATTTAAATGTCCAGTTTCAAGTATTTCAGTTCTTAAACCACATTCATTTTGTGTCACAAACCTATGATGTGTCAAATATTCAATCACAATCCAAATTCAGAGCTGTTTTAAGCTTACATGTAGTGTCCATACTTGCTCAACTGTTCAGGGTTCGACCTCTGCAAGAAATCCGCTTTGCTGTCACTCTGACAGCCTCTTGTTTTTATTATAATTTTGGTTTGATGTGTCTATTTTGTGTGTTGTTGTTATAGTCACTTGAATCATATATAATATCATATTGTGACAAGTGAATTATTATATTAAAATTTATGATATACAAAATTAAATTAAGTACATTTTGCACTTATGAAATAGCTATGCCATTACTCTTTTGGTAAATTAACACGAGTGTAAGAAATTCACGCTGTATTTAATTAAATGCATGATATTGGAGATATGTTTTTTTTTCTTTTTCAGTCTTTTGGTGCTTGTTTTCGACATGGAGTTCAGAGTATGATAGAATCAATGAAATCTCCAGTCAAATAACACCAAATAAGGACATTCCAAATTGGGCAGACGACACTCAAATATAGAGCAGACGGCAACTGATGCACAGATGTCTGAATTTCCATCATCCCAAAGATTTGTTGCATATATAAAACTGTAATCATCACTTCACGGTGTAACGTTGATTTCCATATATCTTCTTTATGTTATATTTAATATAGAAGTGACCATAGAACACAATGTCATCCAAATTATTTTAATTGTCAGAATAACAAGACAATGTTGGTGTTTATTATAGTGAAATTTTGTTTTAAATTTCTTCCAGATTGAATAATGCAAATGATAGAATATTGTTTGGAAATCTTTTGAAACACAACATTTACATTCTAAATTTTCAGTCATTCTGTTTACAACAGTAGCTTATACCACATTCATAATACTTATATAACTAGTCACTGACCTTATCAGGTTATATTTTGCGAAATTAAAACTCAAGTCCATCTAAAATATTAAATTCACTTTTGAAAATCTTTATAATCCAACTAAAAAAAAATACACACCTATTTGGACAATACATAACTAGTTACACAGTCCAAAAAAATTCTAATTTGATTTGAAAGAATGTCAGTACATGTAGTAATATTTCTGCTACACCTCACTGATTAAAAGTCTACACAGCATTTCAACATGGATACTACCTCCTCAAAAAATTTTACCTTATATAATCAAAATTGGTTGTTAATATCTTTCTGTTTCTATAAAACGTGCTGGAAATCTTTTGGTTATATTAAAAAATAATTTGGATGACTGCAGAAATCCATAGGCATTATAGAAACTGTCGTAAAGTAGCTTTCGTAGGGCATTTGTTATAAGAAGTTTTAAGGTTGTAAGTTGTTTGTGATATATATTATAATGTGCAATACAAAAGTTTTATAAAGATTTGTTTTAACAGGTTGCTAATTTAACCATTTTTATTTTTATCTCAGAGAATTTTCCACTGCCAATGTTAGGTTTAGGAAAGTGATGTGTAGCGCTTTGTCTCTATGGTGCTAAAATCATGCAGTTTTTAAATTTAGAAAATATTCATAGACGATTTAGGATTTAAAGACTTCATAGTATTTTCACCATTTGCAGTGAGCTACCAGATTGTTATATTTTGTTTTTTGCAGCTGTGGAAAGAATTTTATGATATGTAAATTTGGCTAAATGATTTCTGATAAAGTTTGGAATGTGTTATTCATCTTACTTCATTATCAATCAGTCATACAAATTAAACAAGTTCATTTATGGGTAATATAGATGTCTGACGTTGTCATTTTTATAAATCATTTTTTTCATAAGTTTTTGTCAATCATGAAAAATTCTGTTGTAAAAGCAAAGGCAACATTTTGTTTTGAATTTTGTTTTGTCTTTCAAATTGTGTACATTCCTTTCATTTGCATTATAAACCAAAGACAAATTGTGTTATTCTATTTATTAAAATGTATCAACTTGTTTATATAAAATTTGTCTGCTTCAATATTTATATAGTAGATCTGTATGGATGTAAAACCTCAATTAACTTGTAAAACTTGTTAATAGATTCATGTCCATCTTTGTCCAAATCTACTCGAAATTTCTTACATACAAATAAAAGTTAATAGTAACAGTAGAATAAACCAAAATAGTTCAAAGTTCAGTGCCATTTTTTTGTTATGCAAAATGTTTTCTGCTGTACAAACTTGTTAATCTATAGTTTATTTGTTGACTTTTGTGTTTATCTGATTTTGATTGGGAAAATTCAACTAAAAACCAGTCGTTTAATTGTTTATTTATTCAGTCAATTTTTTTATGGATGATTCCAATTTTATTTTTTTTCATCTATTGAATTTTTTGTTTTTATATTTGTTTTAAACATATGTGAGTATTTCAAGATGTTGTCAGAATGAGAATTTTCCTTCTAATTTTTTGTGCAATAAATTAAGATTTTCATGTAACAATTTAATGAGCTAAAATCATTTATATGAAACAAAAAAAAGTTAATGATCATCTTTGATACGAAATATGACATCATTAAACGGAGGACAAACTCTCCAAAAAATAACTTGGAACTCTGTTAGATTATTCTAGATTATTCCTTTAATGTCCAAGTCATGAAAATCTACTCGGTTTTGAAATGATTCTGAAAAGAAGATTTCATTCAGTTACTTAGATTTAAAAAAAATTTGAGGTCATCAAATAAATGTTACCAGATAGGAAATAATTTCATCAAAATATTAGGATCATTAATAATTGTAAGTGAATCAGTGCATGACTTGCAAGTTTTTTTTTCATTGGACATTTTCTCCTGAAACTTAAAATTGTAGTTGATATTTACTGAAAAAGACTTTTTGATAAAATATTTTTCATGGATTGCTATCAGTAACACAGTTTTAAATTATTGAAAAACAGTTGTTGAATTTTAGTTTTACAGAATTTTGGCCCTGTAAACTTTCATTTTTGTTATTCTCATGCATTTAAAAAAAACTTGTTGACAGTTCTATAAGTGATAAGTTTGCAGTAGAACTTTTTTAATACAAATGCAGTTGTTCAGTATGATTCATATTAAACATTTAGAGTTTGTAAACAGTATAATATTTATATATGATATGTGTAGTTTATAGATAATTTTATAATAGATCTGTTTGTTATCTGTGGTTGTAGTGTTTAACTTTTTGGTCAGTAATTTAACAGTTTTAGATTTTTTTTAAAAGTTTTATGTTCATTTGAGTAATAACTGGTGCTTTTTGTTGAACTTAAGTTTTTTTTATTAACAGCACTTTTCATGCATTTTATGAAAAGTTTAATCCATTTTAAAAAATTTTTAAATATTTTATGCACATTTTTTTATTGTACAAATCTGTAGAAAATTGTTTTATTTACAGTTTTGACGCTAGTTATTATTATTTTTTTTAATAAAAGAGTGTCAGATAATATCTACAAATTTTGAACCCTGACATTAACCATTTATAACCTTTTATTTTATTGATTAAATTTTAATTATGTCACAAAATATACATGTGAATTTAGGTATATTTTATGGTGACAGAAATTTGGTAGTCATTGTTGAAATATGTCACAAGTTGTATCAACTCAATCTGGTGTTTGACATTGGTATACACACCTATTTATCATTGAAGAAACAAATGTTGACTCTTGGTCTCTTTTGAGTTGTTGGTATGCTGTCTCAATGATGTATAACCCACTTTATTCATGCATATTAATGTTTGGGTCAGCGTCATCTCCAAACTTTTTCTTCAGATTTTGCTATTAGTTTTCCAATCGCCATTTATCTGATGGGACTTTTTTTCAACAAAGCAAAAATTTGGTAGAATCTTGAAATAGGTCAATCATGGTGATCAATTTTTAAAACAACTTTGATTGAATTTTATCATTCACAGTTTTAACATCCTTATTTCCGGTGTTTTATTTTTCTAATCCAGTTTAATGATTGTTTATAAAGTATGGTGTGTTAAAGCTTGTTGAGTAGATGTAGAAACTGTGATTTAATTTTGGTTGTGATTTTGTTTTATTGATTTATTTTTAAGATTTGTATAAATGTGAGCTTTAAATTTTGAAACACTGTTAGTAAGTCAATTAGCATATTTGATAATGAAAAATATTCTTCCAGTTTTCTAAATCAGTTATTTTAAATAATAATGAAAAACATTCTTATTGTTTTCTAAATCAGTTATCTTATAAGATAATGAAAATACCATTTTAAAGTTAATTTACTTACTTTTGAAAAGACGACTTTTTGATAGCTATGTTACTGTATGATTCAATTTTTTGCTTTTGAACTATTTCCCTATGCATTAAAGTTTTGACTTATTCTCCAGTATATTATTACTTTTATATGTAAATTTCAATTTTACAGATTAAGGTGAACAACATGAAGATTTATACAGTGTGCATAAGTTGTTGTTTTATAAATATCAGTATCTTCTCAAAACATTTGATATATTGAATTTCACGGAAGTTCTTTCTTGATTGTTTTTACACAAATCAGTATAGTATGTTAAGTCATTTTTAACTTCAACCATACACAAGCTTATCAATTTACTTGTAAGATAACGGTTCTTTTTCTATATTATCAAGAGTCATTTAGTTAAATTCTGCAGTGTTGAACCCAATTGCTCAGGAGAAACTCTTGCAATTTCAAAGTCAAATATCATGAAATCCAAAATTATTCAATACCTTAAAGTTTTTCAAATATTTGGAGAAAATTGATAAGCACATGAATGGTTGATAGAGATTTGAGTAAACATTATTCAGAACAATTGTCTTTTCAAAATATTAAAGTCCTATGGCTATTATTATGTTAAAAAATGCAATGATTGAAACCAAGCATCCATGCTATAATATTTAGTACAATTTCTATATCTTTATATTATTAAATTCATCTCTTTATAACAAGAAGTTTAAAACCATGCTTTTTATATGCACTGTATAATAAATACTCAGCCATTTGTTGATAGTGGTACACAGCTACTTATGTTTGTTGTTGTATTATTTCATCATTGCTATTTATAGATCATGTTTATTCAATATCAGTTATGTTCCTTTTGCTATTGATGTACAGTGCAGACTTTTTGCAAGGGAAATAAACTTACATAAATTCATACTTTGTTATTTTGTTTGCTACACACGGATTTAAAGGGTAAGCTGCAAGCTTGTGTCCAGTCTGGCAAGTAATCATCGAGAAGAAGATCAAACTAAACGCATGAAAAGATGAGTGTCTTTTTATACGACCTCAAAAAAATTTTGCAGTCGTATATTGGTATGACGTTGGTTAAATACCACAAAAGGAAGGTTGGGATTAATTTGGAGGTTATAGTACCAACAGTTAAGGAATTAGGGGCCAAAAAGGGGCCAAAAATAAGCATTTTCTAGTTTCCAGACAATAACTGTGGAACGGTGTATGGATCTCTCTGAAATTATACTACAAGTTTCCATACCACAAAGGGATGGTTAGGATTTGCTTTAGGGGGTTATGGCTCAAACCGTTTAGGAATTAGGGGCAAAAAAGGGGGAAAAACAAGGTTGTCCTGGTTAATGGACAAATACTTTAGTACAAAACATAATTTAAAGCAGTGTAAGGGAGATAAATCAAATACATCATTGAAATTATCTCCCTTACACTGCTTTTAAATTATGTATAAAGTAATGGTTAATGAACAATAAAGATAATTTAAAACAGTGTAAGGGAGGTAATCCAAATACAACGTTTTGGTTACTTCCCTTACACTGCTTTTAAATTATGTTTAAAGAAATGCATATTTATAAAGGAAGACCAGTAAAAATATCTGCAAATGTTGCATCTTTTTTTTTTACAAAAAAATCCATATGAAAGATTTGACACTATATTTTTAATTCTATTATAAAATAGATTAAGTTAGCACTATGGTAAATTTAAATGGGTAATTATGGTTGCCAACTCCATTGGAAATTTGAATTGAGATTATGACCATATCTTGAGGGAAAGAATTTTTTGGGGGAAAAAAGGGGGGGGGGGGGGATAAAAAGAAATTGTGGGAGGTCAATTTTTTCTCATTTCAGATTTCAGAAATTAAAAAGAATTATTCTTCAAATATTATTTTTTTTTCAAATTTCAAATATTGAAAAATTTCAAGAAGTAATCTTTAATTGCACAGTATGGCGCATTAGATTTGTAAAATCTTTGATCACATTTATTTATTTGATATGCCAAATCTAACCGTGTTTTTTGATTTTTAATTTGGGTCCCGTTTTTTAAATTGGTCTTCATTGAGGTCCAAAGGGTCCAAAATTAAACTTAGTTTAATTTTAACAAAAATTGAATTCTTGGGGTTCTTTGATATGCTGAATCTAAACATGTGTTTAGATTTTTGATTATGGGCCCAGTTTTCAAGTTGGTCCAAGTTGGGGTCCAAAATTAAACTTTTTTTGATTTCAACAAAAATTGAATATATGGGGTTCTTTGATATGCTGAATCTAACCATGAATTTAGATTTTTTATTTGTGGGCCCCGCTATCAAATTGGTTCATATTGAGGTCAAAAGGGTCCAAAATTAAACTTTGTTTGATTTCATCAAAAATTGAATTATTGGGGTTCTTTGATATTCCAAATCTAACCGTGTATTTAGATTTTTAATTTTAAGTCCAGTTTTTTAAATTGGTCTACATTAAGGTCCAAAGGGTCCAAAATTAAACTTAGTTTGATTTTAGCAAAAATTGAATTCTTGGGGTTCTTTGATATGCTGAATCTAAACATGTGTTTAGATTTTTGATGATGGGCCCAGTTTTCAAGTTTGTCCAAGTTGGGGTCCAAAATTAAACTTTGTTTGATTTTAACAAAAATTGAATATATGGGGTTCTTTGATATGCTGAATCTAACCATGTATTTTGATTTTGGACATTGGACCATAAAAGGTAAATTAAAAAAAATCAAGTTCTTAGACCACATTCTTTCTGTGTCAGAAACCTATGCTGTGTCAAATATTTAATAACAATCCAAATTCAGAGCTGTATCAAGCTTGAATGTTGTGTCCATACTTGCCCCAACTGTTCAGGGTTCGACCTCTGCTGTCGTATCAAGCTGCGCCCCAGCGAGGCATTTTATTCTTGTTTCATGACAATAACTTGTGTGTAAGTGTATGGATCTTTATGAAATTGTACTACAAGGTTCCATATCACAAATGGGAAAAGTGGAATTGAGTTTTGGGGTAATTGCCCAAAACATTCAGGAATAAGGGGCCAAAAAGGGGCCAAAAATAAGCATTTTTCTAGTTTCCAGACAATAACTTGTGTTCAAGTGTATGGATCTCTCTGAAGTTGTACTGCAAGGTACCATACCACAAAGGGAAGGCTGGGATTGATTTTGGGGGTAATTCCCTCAAAATTTTAGGAATTAGGGGCCATAAAAGGGCAAAAAAAACAAGCATTTTTCTAGTTTCAGGACAATAACTTGTGTGTTAGTGTATGGATCTTTATGAAATTGTACTGCAAGGTTCCATATCACAAAGGGAAAGCTGGGTTTGAGTTTAGGGTAATTGCCCTAAACATTTAGGAATTTGGGGCCAGCAAGCATTTTTCTAGTTTCCAGACAATAACTTGTGTTCAAGTGTATGGATCTCTCTGAAATTGTACTGCAAGGTACCATACCACAAAGGGAAGGCTGAGATTGAGTTTAGGGGTGATGAATCATGAGGGGGTTCAAAAAATTTGGGGGGGGGGATTTTTTTTTCCTTTTTTTTCTTTAAAATTTTCCATTTTTAATTGGTTATTTCTGATTTATATATAAAAGCAAATAATAATGATATGGTTTGAATAGGTAAATTAAAAATTTTTAAGTTCGTAGACCACATTCATTCTGTGTCAGAAACCTATGCTGTGTCAAATATTTAATTACAATCCAAATTCAGTGCTGTATCAAGCTTGAATGTTGTGTCCATACTTGCCCTTACTGTTGAGGGTTTGACCTCTGCGGTCGTATCAAGCTGCGCAGCAGCGGAGCATTTTATTATTATTTTACCCTCCTCTAAAAATTTCGGGTTATATTGCAATCTCTTTGTACATTCAGCAGTTTCTCACATTTTTGTCCAATACTACTGAACAGAATGACTTCATATTAAGTCAACAACTCAACAGTGCTGAGATGTAATGTGTGTGCACTTTTGGGATCTGTCTGATACCTAATTCCTGCTATCTGATACTTTGAATTACATTATGCTAAGCAAGACAAAACACACATTCTTAATTCATACAACATAGGTATAACTTCTTACAGTCATTTGTTTTCTTTGTAAAATATTCTTTGTGTTTTGCCAGTTCTTATCTGATTTTCTTTCATTCATAAGTAAGGTGACAAGGTCTGCTCCAGTATTGGTGAGAATTGGATGTGGATTCTTAAAAAGTAGAATGTTTAAAATGCAAAGATCTTTGTTTTGCCATATTATCAAAAAAAGATGATTTAACACTGTCTCTCATAATGTCTCAAAATATTTAAAACTTCAGTGTTTTATGGGAAGAATGGTAATGTATACTTGGTTTAAGTAAGACTTAATGCTTTATTTTTTCATGGATTTGAATAAAAATAAAAGTGAAAGTAGATATAAGTAAAATGCTGCAGGTTTTAATTACCAGTAATAATGTTATCCTTGAAGACAGTTGATAATTAAACTTTGTAATGACAGTAAATTTCAAATGTACAAGAATGTGCATTCCTTGCTATGGATTTATTTCTCCACCTGTTTAAAACAACTACTAGCATTATAAAAAATAAAAATAAGATGTGGTATGATTGCCAACGAGACAACTATCCACCAAAGTTCAAATAAAGTGGATGTAAGCAATTATATGCACTTTACAGTATGAAGATCCCATGGTAACAGTTAAATTTCCATGTCACCATGGCTATTGGCATCTTTATCTGTACTATTTTTAGGAAGTATTATAGAAACAATTCACTTTCTATATTAATTTCAAGAACCGAAAAACATTCAAATTCAACATCAGAATGGTCTTACATTCAAAACTTCACAGACACTATTTATTATACATTTTTATTTACAGTACTACCATATATGGTTAGCTTGATAAAAAGGAATTTGACCCTAAAAATTGATTGAAAAGTATGATCAGATTTGGTTACAAAACTGAATCTATCAGAACCCAATCCTTTTCTTGGTTGTTTATAAACCTAATGGTTTCTCTTTTTTTTTTTCCTGCATTGCCAAGGCAGAAGCAGGTCTAGTAAATGCTCGACTCTGTCGGTCCATCCATCTGAAAGATATATTTCATCAAAGTTTTCTCTGCTCCTTTTGAAGGGAATGATTTAATAGTTGGTCTCAGCTTGTTAATAGTGAGTGCACATTGTTGTCAATATAATGGAATTTTATGCGACTGTCATACAAGTGAGATGTTTAGCTAGCTATAAAACCAGGTTTAATCCACCATTTTCTACTTAAGAAAATGCCTGTACCAAGTTCAGAATATGACAGTTGGTATCCATTCGTTTGATGTGTTTGAGCTTTTGATTTTGCCATTTGCTTAGTGACTTTCCTTTTAGAATTTTCCTCAGAGTTCGGTATTTTTGTTATTTTACTTTTTTTGTAGGGAGTAAGCAATTTTTAGTCCCCTACCGACAAAGTTGAAGGGGACTTTAGGTTTGCACTCCGTCTGTCTGTCTGTCTGTCTGTCTGTCCATCCGTCAGTCCGGCAAATTAGTTTTCCGCACTTTTTTCCGTCATGCTTGAAGATATTGATTTGATAATTGGTACATTGTTTTATCATGACAAGTTGCAGATCAAGTTCGAATTTTGTTCCGGTCTGATGATTTTGTGCAGAGTTATGGTCCTTTGACTTAAAAAGTTCACTCAAATAATCAGTTTTCCTCACTTTTTTTTCGTCATGCTTGAAGATATTGATTTGATGATTGGTATATACTTATTATGACAAGTTACAGATCAAGTTCGAATTTTGTTCCGGTCTGATGATTTTGTGCAGAGTTATGGTCCTTGGACTTAGAAAATTACTCAAATAATCAGTTTTCCTCACTTTTTTTCGTCACTTGAAGATATTGATTTGATAATTGGTGTATAGTTTTATCATGACAAGTCACAGATCAAGTTTGAATTTCCGTTCTGATGATTTTGTGCAGAGCTATGGTCCTTGGACGTAGAAAATTCACTTAAATAATAAGTTTTCCACACTTTTTTTCGTCATGCTTGAAGATATTGACTTGATATTTGTTATAAAGTTTACACCATAACAAGTTATAGATCAAGTTAGCATATTGTTCCAGTACAATTAATCTTTAACCGGTAGGGGACTATGTATTGCCATGCAATACTCTCAGAATGCTTGTTACATCTGCTGTGTGTCCACTTCCTGTTTGCCGATAGTTTTAAATTTTACAACACTAATTGTACATGGAAAATTTTGTCAAAGTTTTCTTGGCTTCAGTGAAAGGGAATTATCAGTTATGCTCCAGTATACATGTTACCTTAATCAATAACATGCAGCGATGCAGGTCCAGACCCATATTGGTCTTGTTCATTCTTTAAGGGTGTTTGTTGTCTTCTCAATCTGGATTCCAATTTCTAATTTAATACCTCTAGATCAGTTTCCATTTTAACTCCTAATTATTATTTACTTACATTAATTAAACTTTATAATGACCATCAAAAAGGAAAGCAATTTTTGGCAAGATTCTTACATCAAAGTGAGTACTATGTGGTGTCAACTGGTTGTTTACTTTAGGTGATTATCTTACAAGGAACTTTTGTGCAATGTTTGGTTCCATTGGTCAACAGTTCTCAAGACCTAAAATTGAACCTTGTAATATCACATGCAAAAACCTATAATTATGATCTAAAATATGCACATTTAGGTAAACAACAACCTTGTTCTGTCTTCTGTTCATTTTATCGATTTTGACAGCTTCAGAAGTGTGATATTTTACAGGATTTAAACTAGATTGCCTGTTTTTATGCATTTGTAAGGTCTATTTCCTTCTGAAAAAAATTGGCCACACCCTTTGATCAAAATAAATTTGTTATTCAAAGATGTGTTAAGATGGGCACTTTTTTAATATTGAGGATCATCATATATTGACCTTTGGATGATAATGTGTTGTTGTCACCCTAAATCATTAATTCTAAATATTCTAACTAGTATCTAAGTATCATTTGTTTTCTTATTTTAGATATTAGATAAGTAAGAATTCAAACAACTCTCATTTTTTGGTTATATGAGAATAATATTTAAGGTTCAACTGAAGCAAAGAGCTAGGATATTTCATCTGAGTTAATTTAGTGGTCTTGGTTTATTTAGAGTTATTTCCCTTTAATCATTTAAAGTTTTTTGGTGGAAAAATCTGAACAGAATGGAGACCATCATTGCACAAAATGTTAACAAGTAAAGAAAATTTTTAGCATACTCTCTACCAAATTTTGTTAATTTCTGTCTTTCAACAGTACTAAATGAAAAATCAAAATCTGAAATGTTTTCAGATGGATGACCTGGAGTATGACCTTGTCAGCACTGATGATACCTAAGATGCAAGGCTATGATTTTCTTGCTGAATCACAAACAAATAACATTGTTTTATTGAAATATCAATATAACTTCTAAATAAGAAAGCCCACTCAGTGGTGTTGAGGTAGCATGATCTACTTGAGTGTAAATGTGGGAGGCCTTGGGTTTGATATACCTTACCATTGGGTGAAACCAAAGACTTCAAACATTGGTATTTTCTGCTGCTCTACCAAGCACATGGCTTTCATGAGTAATAGAAAAGACTTGTCAGCTTAGAGTAAAATAATGTTTCTTATTACTGTGATTTGTTTAACTGCAGATTAATAACTTGCTAGCTGGCACATGTCCAAAAATAGTTAACTCTAGATCTAAGAGACTGATTTAACAATTTTATTGCCATCAAGCCCATTCTAGAAGTAAAACCCTGATATTTCATGTTTCAACAGTTTACATGTTAATTCTGTTTATGGTATAAAATATTTTACAATTAAAAATCTTTTTTTAAAATAAATATACTTTACAAGTTGGAGAAGTTGCTGTTTCTTGACCACAGGATTACATTCAGGATAGGTAGACATCATTACCATCAATGAAGTTTATAGCTGCCACCAGAAAAAGGTTTGCTTTACACAAGATAGCTGGAAATATATTTCCTAATTGTCTTATATCATCACTCCTGAATTGATTCAATACAAATCACTGGCTTTGATTACACAAAGGTATGACTGGTGCCGACTTACCAAAGAGATTAAGTTTGTACTATTAGAGCACATGGTTTTTATGGAAGTCAGTGATACACCAAGCTTATGCCTTAGACTTTAACTGTTGTTTACATGAGTGTTTGTCTTGGCTATGAAGCTCCATATTACACACTGGCATACATAATTGTTGGGTTTTAAAGTAAATGAAAATCAATTTGATTTGATAGGTACCTAACATGAAGCCTTTAAACAGTCTGCACTGGCCTCATACTCACAACTTTTCTATGACTCAATGAGCTAATATGCTTTACCAGTTAATCAGATTGAAGAGGTGAATTCAAACTGCAATTTGGTAAAACAAATTATCAATTTTGGTATTTTGAAAAGACAAAGCCTTTTGAATATGCACAGTAGATGAAAAAATACTTTTCATCAAAATGTTTCTACATATTTCAGCTTCACTACAAGAAATGAAGTGATCCACTAGACAACATTTTGGTATGTATATCAAGGTCACATCATTTTTGGATACAGCCATACTTGGCTTCCAATTCTAAATCATCTCTCAATATATTCCTACATATTTCTTTTCTGATAATTAATATAACAGGAAGTGTCCTCTGTTGGAAGTCAGGTAATCAATCAACATCAATGTTATAAAATACTTGATATGGACCTCTCAAGGCATGTCTGCCAAATATACTGTAAATGTGAAATTTTTTTCAGTGGGGTAATTTTCACTTACTTGTGATCACCTAAAATTTGCAAATATTTGCTCGATATAAACATATATAGATATAAGAAGATGTGGTATGAGTGCCAACGAGACAACTCTCCATCCAAGTCACAATTTGTAAAAGTAAACCATCATAGGTCAAAGTATGGTCTTCAACATGGAGCCTTGGCTCACACCGAACAACAAGCTATAAATGGCCCCAAAAATGACTAGTGTAAAACCATTCAAATGGGAAAACCAACGGTCTAATCTATATAAAAAACGAGAAGCCAGAAACACTTATAACCCCATAAATAGAGAGCGAACAGGTGCAGTTGGATTTTTCTAGGTCTGTTTGATTTCATATTATAAGATCAAACAAATATGTTAATCATCATTTTTACCTTTATAAGAATGAGTTTTTGTGGATCAAATCAGTTAACCAGATGATTTACTCTTGTTTCGCTTTCAATGTTGACATTCTTTTCCCTTTGATAGCTGAACATGCCTAGTTCATGCGTAACCCATCTCTAGCTAAGGAGTTAAATAAAAGGTCCAAGTGAATAATTCATCAACGATATTTCTTTGCTTATTCTGACAAAATTGAACCAAACTGGCTCCTAAAAGCAAATTATTATTTCACTATTTCACTTTCATTAATGATTGAACAAATAAAAAAATCATATATTATTTTTTTTTATATCTCGTAGCTTCAATGCCCCTTTCATGGCAAGGGCATCACATGTAAAATGTTCCTATCTAACAGACATATGAGATTTGTTGATACATAAGTTAAATCATAGGAGTGAGGGATAATCAATGGAATCCATTGTCAGAAAATTTGAAGTAATTTCTGATGTATTTTAGTTGTATAAGCGTTTAAGGTAGCATTTTCCTCTGGTTCCACAGAAGAATTAATGCATAAAATACCTGCTTCTTTAGTACTGTCACAGAAAAACACAACATAAAATGTTTGTTTATAATTTTATTAACATTGAACTTCTATTAACAAATAAATATAGAGCACTGATTTTAAAATGGATGGATACAATTATTTATTGTACATGTTTGTAAAATGGACGGATGTGTCAATAAGTATATAAAATAATAATAATAAACTTAACGATTCATTAATCATAAAAAAACTTACAATTACAAACTGTTGTGATACCTTAAGAAATACTGACTGCAGTCAAGGTTTTCTTAGCGCAGGTCAGTCATGTCTCATACAAATATATAAAAAATCCTCTTAACGGACAGTTAAAGTTTAAAAGTAGTTTGTCCAGAATTTGAAAAGAAAATGAAAATAATGCCCACTAATTCATCAACAGTCTGTTTTCATTGGGTTCAATTCTCTTTCAAATTCTTCCATGAAAAACACATAAAAAAATGATTACCTCTAAACATTAGGATGTATAGTTTTGCCCCCCTCAAATGCATTGCCTGTTCTACTGAAATTTGTCTAAGAAAACACTCTAGACAAAAACGAACCTATAAAAATGTATAATTATATTTCCACATTAAAGAGTACTTTTCTTCAAATTATAGTTTACTTTCTATTTCTTCAAATAAGATGACTTTAATAAAGTTTAATCAGATGTACTGTAGTCATGTTTTACACATGTGAAATGCAAAATGGTACATAAAATACAGCTTATGAATAATTAAATGTAACATTGCTATGTGTATGTATTGATTGATATGATATATATAAATGAATGAAATGTTGATATGCACATAAGTAATCTGAACAATAAAGCACTAATTTACCAAGCTGTAAGACTATCACATTTATAAATATCACAGTCAAACCTTTTGTTTAATACACAGAATATAAAACAATATTAAAAATACATAAACTCAATTGTTATCAATACTGATAGCTTAATGGATTTAAACAATTTTCTTTTGTTATTTAAAATAAGTTTTCTGTAATTACATACAACCAATTCTTTGAAAAAAATACAGAATATATAAATAAAAACAATGTATCACTTAACAATGTATTATACTGTTCTTGATCATTCTACAATCGTGCCAATTCACCATTTCAAAAACATCCTTTGCAAACATTGCATATTTGCAAACAAAAGTATTCCACCCATGACAACCTGATGGTTCTTACAGGTAAAATGTATGAGGGGTTGGACAACACTTTTTTTTATACCCTACCACCCCTAATTCTTATTTTCATTTGTATCAGAATTGTATTTACTTCCAACCCTATATTACACAGACTAAACTGTAATAGGAAAGGCCCATTTATTTGAAAATGGTGAAAATCCTAAAGGTTGTGAAACACTTAAAATAAAATAACAATTCCATCTAAAAGTCAACAAAATTGATGGTTTACTTTTTAAACATATACTTTTTATCAGCTGATAAAAATCAACTTTTTTCCCCATTAATTAACACCTACTGTTACACTTGTAAATAAAAATGATAATAAAATCATTAGAAGTATTATCAAAGACGAATTCTGATTATAGGGATATCGTCATTTTCTACCGACATACAAAGTCAAAATGAATTCAATAAATTATTCAATAACAGTATAACTTTTACAATCTCCCAGTCTCAGATTATGTCTTTGTATGCATTATATGCATTATCTATGATGTGAAGGCCTTTCGAGTGCTACTTGTAGAACTTTTACTGCCTTCCAGACTGGGTGGAGGTCTATGCATAATACATGTACATTTTTTACAATGTACTAGATGATTAAGAATCTGCTCATGGCGTATTCTTCCTTTTGGTTCTGTCAAAAATCAATTCTTAATTAAACAAACTCAACATATGCAAAACAAATTTTGTCATTGAAATCATCAAACTACAAACAGATTTTGTAAATTTTCTTTTCCATTGTTAACAAAGTTGGCTCCTATACTGTAAACGTGAGATGATTAAACATATTTCTCTTACAGAAGTAGTCATCTTTTCAAGGATTTTTATTCAAGTATTTTCAATATGTTCTTTCAATGAGCTAGCACTAATTTTTTCCAATATGAAATTTAGATTCAACTCAATTTCATTTCAATAAAGGCCCCCTCACATATTTCATCAATGTGAGAACCTATAAAGTGTTGTCCACAAGCATTAAATTCATCAATGATTATTAGAAAAAGTACAAATCATTAACTGTTTTAGTTTCAAGAGGTCTGACTGAAACCAGTCTTATTGAAAATCATCAAATTCAAAATAAATCAAAGTTTTGATTTTGTAATCAATATCCCATATTTTTTCGAAAAACTGGGCTTGTTCAATTCAAAATGATATCACTGTTCAATGTACTTTAAAATTTAATATCTTCATAAAAATACACAATGAAGTCATTTTGCCAAATGTTCAAACCACAGTGACACAAATGTTATCTTATTTAAATCTGACTGAATTCTAAAAGTGGAAAAAAGATGTCATGCAGTCAGGTGAAATGAATTAATGGCTGATATAAAATCCAAATATTTAGCAAAATATGTCATGCATTGCATACCATAAGTAAAAAATGTCCTGGTATAAGAAGTACAATTATTACTGAGCCGTAAGCACATCGATATGTACGATTAAGCAAACATACATACTGCTTTTAATGCATGCCATCTTCTTTTTTTTATACATGCGTCAGAAAAGCTAGAGTATGTCCCGATGTAAGAAGATTAATAATTGAAGAATACATCAAGTCATTTTATCTGCGTAATTTAATGTAATAAATGTTAAAATGTTGATTTAAGGAGAAGAGGTCCATTTCCATATGTTAACGATAGGCAGCATCAAATAACATATCTTAAGCACCTTTATAATGTCAAATATTTTTGATAAATCAATCTGGTAAATATATTTAAATTATAAATACGAGTTAAATTGATATAACCTTTATATATTTATAATATCCCATAACGATTTTCTGCTTGGCATCAATACAAAAATAGATGTCTTAGTACAAAAATATTATTTGTAAATATATCTTTTATGTTAACCAGTGATAATATTTCATAACGAGTGCACAAAGTTTGAAAGTATCGCAAATTATTTTTAAGTTGAAACATCCAAGGTTACTGGTTATGTGGTATTTTTGACAAAATAAAAATGTCTGGTTCAGTATCTATCTTTCTGAAAAACTTTTAATCCAGTGAGAATAAAATCAAAATTTTTTTAAAGAGTGTGTTTTTATTGTTACATGCAAGAAACGAAGTGAATACTTCAGTCAAAACGTGAAAAATAAAAAATTACATTTCAGTTTTTCTTACCTCTTTGTAGTTTTTCTCTTTCTTAAATGTAAAACAGATCTTAATCAACAACAGTCAATAATTAAACATCTTTTCCAAATAAAAAAACAACAAATATAACAAGAAAACAAAATTAATTTTCTTTGGAACAATTAATGCATGTATATATTATACCTACTTACAGGCTTAAAAACAACCTATCAACCAATGGTGAAATATAATAACATGACATTGTTTTAAATTATCCACATTGTTGTAAGTTTAATCCTGGTGTCCATTATTCTTTAAGAGGCATATGAAACATTGCACAATTTTTTTCAAAGAGCTGTGAGGGATTCATTTATATTTGTGAAGCTCCTTAAGTCTTGTGTAACTTAAACATCCAAAAGAAATATCTATTTTAGTCTAGAAAAGTGAGGAATTAAACCACATAATGTTATCTGTGTCCACTTTGTACCTACATTACCATTTATGACGGACTTCTCATCACAACTATGGCTGGACTTTTTAAAGAATAAAATAAAAAACAAACAGCATAGGCATGTTATAAAGAGTGTTTCATTGATAAATAGGTAGCTTAACTTAAATAGTTTCAATTTAAAACACAAGTTTGTCCTATAGAGAAAAAAAAAATTTCTTAAAAACTAAGACATTCCAAACAAAACTTTGTTGATTACTAACGCTTGGGAAAGCAATTTGCAAAATATTTCTTATCAATAAGTAAATCACAATAAACCAATATATGGACTTTAAAAATTAAACACCAAAAAATTACCAGTAAACAGATAAATCTTAATTCAATATATGATAATAATACAAATTACCATAAATATTTATTTTACTTTGGACATTATAATAATAAAATAAAAACCCTTTTGATCTGTTTCAAAATGAAGATATTAACATGCTTAATATGTTTTTTTTACTGATGTAAAATGATGGCACTGAACACATCTTAATCTATATTATTCCTTATTCCATTATTGAAAAGTAGACCAGGCTAGGGATAAGTAAACAAATTAGTATTCAACTTATATAAAACGGAAAGGCCAAGTAAAGTTTAATACCACACAAGCTTTTGTTGTCAAATATTAATTTGATAGATAAGAAAATATTGAACAATTATCTTCCATACAAACACATAACAAAAGGTTGAAAGTGAAGATGAAATTCACACCATAAAATAACACCAAAACATGGACATTAGATTATGTTAAACAAGATATTAATTCTGTATAAATTACCATTAACAAAAGGCTGAAAAGATTGCAATAGAATCCATGCAAAAGGTCAAGTGTCAATGAATGAAAACATAAATATTGCGGAACTTTCAAAAAAAGTTAATTAAATATGTGTACATAGATATATAAGCTATTCAAGAAAGTAATTAAAATGGCAGAAATTGAAAGAAAATGTCCTATAATATTAGAAGAATTATTATTTCAAGATTGAAAGCAAATGTTGTATATTCTTGTGAATATTTAGCAATCTTGCTATTGATCCAGTTAGGTTAACCAGTGACACACTATATTGATGGTAAACATCTTCATTTTACGTAAATCAGACGTTATAAGGAACTGTTGCTTTGAACTTTCTTTTAAACACGAGTCAAAAACTGCTTTTTAAATAATTTCCTGAATAGCTTACTGGCCTTAAAATCAAAATCTTCAATTGCAGTAGTATTTCAATATACAACACAAACATGGCACATTTATACACGTAAACAAAGCTTCATTCTCACTCGCATGAATATATTGTAAACCAACTTATTTTGGGGGATACTTTATTTCGCTTTTAGCCCTTTCAAGCTGACTTTGCAGCAATTTATTTTTCACAATTTTCTTGATGTTTTTATATTTGTATAGTGAGCATCCATTTTACATATTGGCGACTATTTATATGGATTTATTTTTTCCACTCACAAAGATCGCCAAAATAAGTTGCTTGCAAAAATGAGTTGGTTTACAGTAATTTCAATATCATACATTCATTTTACATGCTATACTTCATAACATAACCACTGAAACATATTGTTAGCACCACAAAATCTAAAAATAGAACCATGTGATCATACAAGGACTAGGTGAAATAAATATTGCTTCATATTAACGAATGAGTGAAACATTACAATCAACATTTCATCTAAATGGTGCTGGGTGCTTGATAACTTTTATATGTTCTGAAACATACTTGGTTTTATCGAGTTTTTGATCGGTGAACACTTTAGTTTGAGACTGATAAAGTCGAGATCCTACAGAGGTTCCAGATACGGTAGATTTTGTGCTAGCTGAATGGCGTCGCCATTTCATGGCAGCATTTATATAACTAGCCACAGGACTAACTCCCTGTGGTTTTACATAAGCTTTAGGGTGCGGCGTAGAAGAAGCATGGTGCACAGGAAGCTTTCTTGCCCCTTTTTTACCCCGTTTAGGAAGCAGTTTTGGTTCAGCCTCAGCATCATGGCCATTTGGGATATGATCTACTTCACCATTTGTCATTTCTGAATTAACAAGTTTTTCTTTTGATTTCTTAGATGGTAGTAGACCTCTAGCTTGGGCTCTTGCTAAAACATCTCTGGCTGCTTCTTTAGCATCTTCTGGCTGTAAATATACAATTGTTAATCATGTTTAAACTTGATATCTAAATTTGATAGAATTGTTTAAACCGGTCACAAAATTTGAGATTTATCAACAAGATAAATAATATCAAATTTTTCTAAATAAGATGTTTTCCATATTAGAGGTTCCTTATTGCATAAAACTATAATTCTACAGCACTGATACTTTAAGCATTAATTTTTAATGGACATGAAAACAAAAGAACAATGAATCCATGGTCCATTTGCAGAGCATCTAGTATAACTCTTGATGTAAATTTAACAAATTCAAAGGTTATTTTAACATGGGAAATATCTTGTTGGCAGTTGCAATTCATATTACAAGTACAGTAATATGTGTAATATGCAGGGAAAGATCAAGATTATTCATTTGTTAAACGTCATAAATATCATGACGTCAAGAGATGACATATAAATGTTTTCTTTCATCTTAAATGTCAGTTTTGATAATAACAGAGAACAGTTCTGACCATTTTTGTATTACTTATATTATAAAAGACTGATTCACCATGTTAATGACCTTTGTAAAATCAGTGTCAAAATTTAATTTTCATGTTGGCAAAAATTGAATGTTTACATATGTAACCAAGAGTTCAACCTAAGCAAACTGAAATATTTCACCTGATAATTTTTATATTAGCCTACTCTTTTTAAGAATAACAAATAGAAATATGAATGTTAATCATATAGATATTAAACAAACAAATGCCAGTTTTATTAAAATGTATTTAATAAAAATTATTATCAGATCATCATTGTATGTTTTATATGTATTTTCGGGGGCATTAATTAAAATACCAAATGAACCCTTCAAACAAATATTGATATATTTAGCCTTTTGGACATCTTTTGTCATTTTTTCTTTGACCTAATTTTTCTTGTCCCCTTAAATTTTGATCAATTTACATGGTATCAACTGTAAAATGTTATAAATGTAGAACTTTACACACCCATTTTATATGCATTACATATTGGGGTTGGATTTCACTAGATGTGAAACATCTTACAATCAATATCCAATTTACCATGGAATATATAACATAGTTAATGAAGGTTTTCTTTGAATACTTAAACCATTTCTGTCTAAGAGGCAGACAGAAAGTCGAACTTCATGGCAGAAAATTTAATAAATTCAGAAAACAAATGTATCACAACAAATATAAAAGCAAAATAAATCACTTTAAGCAGTAGAATGTGTCCTGAAAACTCACATGACATTGTGTAATGGATAGTAAAACTAACAAAATCTAAATATTTTACAAATTTGATTGCAAGATGGTTCAGTAACCTACTACAGGATTACATGATCTAATGTTGTGTCCAAAAAAAATTGTTTTAGCAGCAGATATGCAATACAGTTTGTTTAAATTTTAAAAAGAATACCAAAATTTTGCAGACATTTGTGATTTATAATAAAATGTGCTATATATGCATTGATAAAACTATTAATCTTAGATGAATGTGACTTTCATCATATCAATTAAACCCTAAACCTAACTGTTCAATATACATTTAAACAAACATTGATTTTAAAATGGTTAAGTGTGAGAAAGCAAGTATTTTTTTCTTTGTAATTTACATTCTTACAAAAGATTTTTGTTTTAAAACAGTTTAATTTTATGAGGAAGATTGATTTTTTAATTTATCAGTACTTGAAATATAAAGTAGCCATTTGTTTAAATACATTTTAACTGCCATTAATTTATTTCATGGTTTTTTTAAATGACATCACCTTGCATCTCAAGTGTACTAAAAATTTTAAATTAAAAGCAATGTAATACTTATTGATTTATAAATGGGAAACTTCCCTAACATGCATTCATACTCTTCTATGTGAATAAAACATTCTAAAAGCATGAATATTAAAGAAAAGTTTTCTCTTGTTTTTATTCAACAAAGTGTTGCTATTTTCATAGTCTTGGTAGAAATTCACGGATCAAGGCGTCAAGACAGAAAGACTGATTTACAACAATGAACAAGATTTCTGAAAGAAATAAAAATAAATAAAAATGTTTGTGAGCTGAAAATCAGCTGATTTTTAAACATTGTGAATAAATCATTCATACAAATCTATTTCCTCATCACCATGGAATCTGTCAACAAAACATTTCCATTTCATTAAAAAAAAATGCTCTTGAAAAAAGACTTAAGAAAACCTGCCAGACATCAACTGAATTTTCTACAATACACTGAATGTTTCTTACTTAAGTTTCATCATAACAAATGGACAAAAATGGCTGTGTTTACATCTAAAAGTTTACTATGAGTACAGACAACCCTGTGCAGTTGGAAAAGTTTGAAGGACTAGCATCCACAAGATATATAAAAATTAAATGCATTTTTTGTGTTTCAGAGAGATCAAATCTCTTTTGGATTTTGATGGGCATTTTTTTCTGTTCCTGCATAAGGTGTTAAAATAAACTAAGTTGGGTAAAATGTTTAGTAATTTTTTGGGGCCCTTTATAGCTTGCTGTTCGGTGTGAGCCAATGCTCCGTGTTGAAGGCCGTACCTTGACCTATAATGGTTTACTTTTATAAATTGTAACTTGGATGGAGAGTTGTCTCATTGGCACTCATACCACATCTTCCTATATGTATTGAGATGCCCCTCTAAGGTAACAATTGTATTGCATTGATTGATATGGACAATTTAAGGACAATAGATATCTACACAACAATAAGTGATTTAAGGGGGTAACTGAGTGAACAGTATCAAATGTTATTCAGTTGTTTGTTTATTCTACCATCATATGCAGCGAGGAAAAAAAAGCCCATCAAAATCCAAAAACTGTTTAAACTGAATTAAGCATACCTCTCTAGTAACGACAGCAACAAAACAACCACTGGATTTCTCTGTTGGATGGAACTTAATGTATTTGCCAATGATCCCTATTTTCTTTTCTATCTCTTCTCCAGAGAATGGTAACACAGGGGGAACAACTCTCCAAGGGAATTTCCTCTGTTGTACCATATTTGTATATTCCACTGATTTGACAACAACATTTTCATTTTCTGCCTCATGAATAGATCTGGTCATGTATACAACTGCTTGCACCTTGGAAACTAAAGAAAGAAAGGAATCATAGATTTTATTAAAAAAAAATTAGTTGTTAAAAAACTCTTTAGAAAAAAATTTGTTGATTTACTGAATCTCTTGGTATATCCATCAATTTTAAAAGTAAAGATCAGGATAATCCACTCATTTTTAAAAAGTGGGTGAATACCCCAAAGTAGAAGGTTAGATCTAAGGTATTTTGGCTCTTTTATACTTGACAACAAAGTAACTGGGAAATTAAAGCAAACAAACACGTTTTTTGTCAGGTGTCTGGCTGTTATGAATATGCCCTGAAAGAAGGTGGTGATATTTCATCTTTTGTTCACTGTAAAGTATATAATATTCCTTAGCTGAAAGAATATATTAAAAGTAGAGAGTATGATATAGTTTATTCAAACACTTATTGATTGCTGATTGAATAATGTCCAGTGCAAATATTTCATGCAGGACAAGACCAAATTGAACAAAAAACCAATGAGGTAGATAATTATGTTGATCAACCAGGATGGAGTATGCAAAAAGGAGGAGGGTCATCTAAGGACTCAGCAATAAGTCATTGCAAAGATTCTTTTCATTTTAGAGATTGTGTCAACTGCCAATATGAGGCATTATAAATACTGTCCATAATTTTCCAGTATGTAGCTTCATTCCTGTACATCCTACACACCTACAAATGGAAAGTGACTGTACCAAGATAGAAGTCATTTTCCATTTGTTCCATTAGCTTATATGCTATGTCACTATAATCCCCTCTCCCCTCAAGAAAAAGGGTAAATTCTAACTGATTTTAAGGTTTCATTTCTTATTTTAGCCTCTGCAATATATTATGACCTTAAACCAGACTAGACTACATGTGAACTCAGCTATCAAACCCTATATGGAAAACAACTTCCTAACCTCTACGTACTTACATTTCATAGCATGTTTCATTACATTCATGTGTGCAGTACTAAGTTCTGTTATTCTAGCCATATTAACATCCCCTGTTGCCATGTCTTTTAATATTTTCATGTCTGCAACAAATTTTATGAATTATTGTTAATTACTGATTTCGAATTTGCATGTATGAACAAAAGCAAAGTGCATACAGTTTGACTTCAGATAAATGTAGAATGCATGTTGTTTACAGTTAATGCATTAACACTCAACGACATGAAACATTTATCAACAGCTGATTCAAAGATCTATTGATTTTATTATTTATAAAGTTCAAAAACACGGAAACCCTATTTCAAGGTTTGGTAATGTACTAACTCATATACAAATGTTTTCCATTAGTTTCAAAACATTTTATTTTATCAATCATTGAAAAATGTTTGTTTGAGGTATCTTTTAATACAACAAATGTTGTCAAGTTTGTAAATACAATTGGTACATGTCATATTCAAACCTGTCTATATATAATGCACTATATCAATCAATATGAAATGCCATAACAAAGATTATTTTTAAATTTTATGCATGGTAATTAGCACTAGCTGTTACATAAAGATCCCATGTCTATCTTCCCTGCAGTGCCCATACTTTTCCACTCTGACTGTATTTTAAGTACAAATGGCAAATACTTTTGAGGCCAACAGATTCTCTTGTTTCCAATTCATTATTTCATTATAATACTTATAAAAAAACACAGCTTTTTCAATATCTCCTTCTTTTACAAAAAAAAAAAAAAAAACAACCCTAAAACTTGATTAGTAATGCCACCAGCCCTGCTGCTATAACACCAGTTGTTCTGAAATTTGTGTACTTTGTATCAAAATCAATAATTACCTTCTCCTTCATTGACAATAAAATCTACAGGATTAGTGACACCAGACCTGCTACAGTCTGCTGTGACCAGTATCACTCTCACATTCTTGTACTTGGAGTCATCATGATCTATATCTAGAAAGGAATCTGTTGGCACCTTGATTCCTTTAATAATAATAAAAATAACAGATCAGTAAACAGTTTTTAAATTGTTGCTATTATTGACAAATAAAATCAAAGGGTAGGTTTATAATCTCCTCACTCTAAAATAGAATCTGTCCTCATTATTTGAAGATTCAAGCTAAAGCATTGAGAAACTCAAATACTTTTTTTCAGTGCACTTATTATCACATGGAAAGAGAAGAATTGAATTCTTAAATTATCTTGTTCTTAAAGCTTGTTCAAATTCATTAATCAAAGAGTTTGAGGAAAAAAGGAATCCTAAAATACATTTTGTTCATTAACGTTAGAAAAAAAAATTTGGTTTCTGCTGGTATGATCTAAATAATATATTTTTTTTCTTTCTGATATCATACTGATTGAGGTAACTTATAAAAAGGTTCTCAAATAAAACTTGACTTCAATGTTATCTGATGGAGAAAAATATTGACAGTGACAAAGCCATTTCAGATTTTTACTTGTAAAGTTTATTGTTTAATTTTCTTTATTTCCTTTCAAAGCTATAAATACTTGTCAGTAATTGTTCAATATTTACAAAGTAATTGACAACACTTCTGAAATTTACAAGTATGCCACAAAACTGGACATTAGCCTAATAAATATGGTTTTAGAACCAAAGTGAAGTATTTTCATGTACCATGATAACATTTAACCTTAAAATATGTAAAAATGTTTATTTAATAAATATTAAGCACTTGAATATTATTTATACTTCTACTAAAAATGTTATCGTGTATGTAACTTGCAGTATTTTATTCTGAAAACTTACATAATCATTCTGTTACAAGGAACTTAATTTAAATTTATTATCTATTATATGTTATCATTCATAAAATTTATACCATTATTCAGCACTTAAAAAGCTTGAATAGACTTTAAAACCTTGATTAGATGAACAAGTTATATAAGTTTGACCTTGAAATTTGTCCAAGAACAAATATCAGTTTGTAAAAAAATTTGCATAAAGCTCTTGAACTTTGGTTTGGATTTGCTTTAATATGAAATTTGAATCTAATCTTGATGTAATACCTTCATCCAAAATACATCATACATGGACATAAACTGGATCACTGTCTAACATAATTATAATAATAAAGTATATAAGTAAAGTCTATTAGTTTGATAAACTGTGGCCCTTTTATAATTGTGAATGGTAGTAAAATTCGTTTTGTGTTATAGATTTGAATAAAATGGACCATGGATCTTTTCAAGCATGTTTTTACCTTTTATTCCACATTTCTCAAATTGTGCTTGTATTGCTTTTGATTCTGTAGTAGATTTTGCACCAAATGCCCATCCATGATTATTGCTATTATTGAGGAGACTGGCTATATGTGCTGTGGTGAGACCAGATCCTATGTTTACATGTATGAGATCACTGTCATCTCCAAGTAAATGTTTGATAGAATGTGGTGCTATACAACTTGATTTATCCTACAAAATAAAAAAAATGTACACAAAGTTATTCAAAATGTTATTTCATTACTGAAATCAACATAGATTCAAATTTACACATCAAATATTTGAGAGGAAAAATCCAGATTAAAATCAAACAATTGAAATAAATCACAAAAAAATATGCAGATATGGACTCAGCTAAGTGTTAAATAATTCAATATGTTGAAAGGTTTACATTGTTATATTGGTTCTATAAATGTTAGGTTGAATATGAATGATAGAAGATGTGGAGTAAAGATAATGGAGACAAAATTAAAAATAAATGATCTTACAGCCTTCAGAAGTAAACAATTCACCTACTTTGAATAGAAAGCAATTAATTACTAATAAGTCTAGATCAGTTGCAATTGAATTAAAAAAAAATACTTAACAACTGATGTTAATTTGTTCTCCTCCTAAACTTGAATGAAATATTTGCCGCTGGACAGAAAGTAAACAACAATCAAGCTAAAACAACTGACACCAACACCCAATCATCAATAGAGAGACATCAACAACCATTGACCAGATGCATGACTTAAGGACAGGCTCAAAAGCATGTGGTGGTTTTAAACTATCATAATTATCTAGTCTACCAGTAAAGTAGATATTCTGCAATGTTACCTTGCTTTTTAAGTTTTAACAATTATCTGATTCTGATATTGTCCATCTTTTCCAGGAAAAAATGTATGGAATGTATGGAACAGAGGACAAAACTTTTTTAATACCCCACCACCTACAGTTTTCCTTTGTAACAAAGTTATATTGGCTTTCACCCCTATTACCCATAGAAAAAAAATATCATGTGATGTAACCATTCCATACATATTTTTCTGGAATAGCCCTGAATTTATACAATCCTCATACAAGAAAGAAATAATACCTGTATAACAATTTTGCCTCCTAGATAAAGATCATGATCTACCAGATCTTCTCTATATTCTCCAGGAAACATTAATACGTCACTACACAATGGGTCCATTGCAAACTGTTTGTCTACTAACTTCTCTTCACTGTTAACCAATGTAAAACCTTCCTCTTTAAACTGGTCTACTACTTCTGATATACTGCAATGAAAACATTTTGTTTATATAATAAAGCTGATCTATGGCCCACAGTTATTATTAACTTGTACTGTACCACTTTTTTGAAGCCGGATTTGGACTTTCAAACATCAAAGTCCTTATTTAAGAATACAGTACTTATTTCGTTTTTTATTTTCCATAAGTTTGTGAACATTATTCATTGATGCTCATTTTACTATTTGAAGTTAGGCTTTTTAAAAACTATTAAATGGTATATCTAAAATACAATGCCATTTAGAGTCAATATAATTGTTTATAGTGGCTACCTTATACAAATGGTAGTAGTACTGCTGCTATAAACTTGTTACATCATATAAAAATTGTTTCCTGGAAAATAATGTTAACAAAGAAAATCTGCTAATATGTTGACTTTTTTTTCAGGAAACAAACACAAGTAAATACTTTGTACTATTTAATCTTCTGTACTGAGTCTTTTATAGAAATGATGGCATTTCAAACAATATGCAGTTCAGCATGAAGCTATTTTGTATCAATTTATTGCCTACAAAATCAATTTCCCATCTTATCTTTTCAATTTTGACCTTATCTTCGCTATAGCATCCAAGAGTCAAATGAGCCTTTGAATGGCAATGTTCGTCACTGGAGATTCCTATACTGATCGATAAAGCAGATAACCGCATAGTTCATGGCACTTTTGTTTCGGAACATGTAAAATACAAGATGGTCTCTTGATATTCAACCCTTAATTAAATCTTAAAGATGTAAACTATCTAGAAACTGATCGATAAGGTCGTGACTTATAGCAGTTTTATGATTGAGTGTGAATTAACTATGTTTGAAGACAGTCGGATAACAGGAAAAGGTTGGCAATAAACTCAGAGAAATTCAACATTAGCTAAGCAATTAAATTACACAAATGGTATTAATTATCGGCTATTTCAAAGACAATTGTTAAATATCAATATCAATTATACCATAGGAATCAATTGTGTGTGACGTCGTAATGGAACAAAGGTGATCTTAAGATTAACAAACTAAATATAAACTGTAGCTTAGGCAATGTTTGAACTTCTGACAAACATTATTAATGATTCTGCATTAATTCATATTGCAAACATTGCAAACTGTCAAGTTTTTCTACAATAAAGTAAATTACAGTCTAGATTCAAAGAAAATGCAGGATGTAATGATATCAGAACCATGTTTAATTCTATTGTTGTGATGACTGATGCAGATGGCTTCCTGCCTTTCCTATATATACATCTTAGTACAATTGGAAATTTGTTTAAATGGTAGCAAAAAAGGTTTTGTTATAAATGTGACGGATTGATTGATGGTTGCTTAACATTGCATCAGTGATAAAAGGTTATATTTTGAAGATATAGCCCTTGAAGGAAAATAAGTTTTTACAATGTTGCATGTGGTAGTGACTGCAGAGTACTATTCCAGAAGAAACCTATTTTCACTATAAATCTCGGTGTGTGCCAGATATAACCTCTTTCAGAGAAAATATTTGATGACTGGAGAGGTTGACAGGTCACAAAAACCTTCAAAATTTATCATTTACAGAAAATAAGTCTCTAAAAATTAAGAACTATACATTTAGATGTTATACATCTTTCTCATTGTCAAAGTATCTACCTTGAGCAGTACTTACCTTGTTTTTATTTGGTTGACCCATGTATACACTGGTTGCTTAGAGCCTATTGCTTCTTTACTTCTTACAGTTTCTGGTAACAGGTATTCTATTGATGGGGCTGAGGCTTTTATTCTGTGTCGTGCAAGGGCAGCATTTAATTTGGTTTTACAATCAGAAATGGCATCTTCAACATCTGTTGCTACAGAATTCAGAACTTCATTTGTGAATGGAGTTCTACGTTGAAATTTTCTAGTTTGGTAATCACATAATATAACCATTACTAAACCAAGATCTTCCATATGCTGTAAAATATAATATCATTTTTTTTTTTTTTTTTTTTTTTTTTAAAACAACCTACAATCTTTAAGTTATGATAAAATTGGGCCTAAACTACAAACTACTGTTAATTGTCTTGGAAATTAATGGAACACATTATTTGATTTTAATTAGAAAATCAATGGGTCATGTGGTCATGTTGAACAGATGCATGTATGTATTTTTACAATACTGTCATATTAGATTTTCTTATAAAAAATGCCACAAGAAAGCAAATAGAAAATTTCAAATAGCAATCTGCCTTCAATTAACAATTAGTCTTATTTTTAAGTAGCAGATCAGGAGAAACTCTGTTGTCAGTCTTGATATGAATTGTGTTGCTACACAGTGAATTTTATAGAATTGCAAGAAAATATCTTTGTGAAAAAATACTGAAGTATGATCCACTTGGTATGTTAGTTGGACAAAGGTTGAAAGTACCAACAAATGATTCATGATTCAGTCATCTTTAAAGGTATTTACTATGATAAAGGATCAGATTTTCTATCAGATACAAGTACGTACCTGGACGACACTTACACCCTACTTTAAGTGACAACTCGAGCAATATAAAAACTATTTAACGTGATGCTTATGGTATTAAAGATACATTTTTACATTGTTGATGCATTATTAATCGGGTTTAGATGAGATTATTGAAATCATTACAATCATAAAATGTCAATCTGGGAGGGCTTTAAAGCGAATAAACTGTTATAATAATTTCCCTTTAATTGAAAATCAATAAAATACATTTATTCTCATTTATTATTGATGAATATGCAGTCACTCAATGGCTTCCTTCAATTGTGGCACCGAAATAATACAATTTTATGCAAATGTCATTATGACGTGAATTTAAAGTCATTTTTAAAAGGATTTGATTTTCTCTTTTCTAAATTTAAGTCTTGACAAATGCTCATTTTTTTCTTTATTTTGCTTGGTTCCCACCAGGTGTCCTCTAGTTGTTATCATAAATAACATCAATACATCCGCACGGTTAGTTTCATTATACAATCATATCAAAATAGCATTTCTGTTTAAGAAACCAAAAATAGTTCTATTTTAAAGTCTTTTTTCATCAGTATGTTCTTCTAAGGAGAACCATAAGTAAAGAATTTCCACCAAAAACACATTAAAGCTATCTTAAAGTAGATATTTTTAATAAAAATGTCATTCCAGTGTATCTCAGGTGTAATGTTAAGTACATAGTCAATATCATTACACTCATTTTAAGCAAATAATGTCAAAGAATTTAAAGCTACCAAAAATATGTAGTCTCACAAAATTAAATTTTTTCACCAAATTATACAAAGAAAAGAAGCATGGACTTTGTTTTCTGAACAACTAATTTCTAACTTGTTGTCAAGGAGGGAAAATTTAAGTGAAAAACTGTTCCAAATTGACACATATGTAAACTTTTAATTAAATATATACAAAGTTGCCACTTTCCACTTTCTATATAAATTTCCAAAGAAACATGACATATGGGTTACAATAATTGGTAATTTTTCACTTTTTATTGACTCACGAGTGAGAAAAGAAAACATATTAGTGCTTCACAGAATTAACTTTTGGCTTGTTTGTTTGTCAAATTTACCTGTTGAAGACATAAGTAAATTTTGCACTTTGATGTGAAATTTTTCTGTTGATCTGAGGTTTAAAGGATTAGAGAATGTATATCAGATTTGGATTTGTTCTTTGCTTTCCTTTTCTGAGGCTTTAAATCTTATAAATTCAAATATTCATTGATTATCTCTTTGAAAAATTCTTGTTTTATGTTTTCCTTGGCAAAACAAGTATCAAAGTCGTTTGTTTTTAGCTTTATTTAAATTTCACAAGAAGTCTGTTTACACTTGATTTCATATTTCATAAAAAGGTCAAAGTTTCATGTTATGTGAACTTCATAGCATAAAAATACAGGGGATTTTCTATGCTTTGCAACATCATAGTGAGATCTGCAAGTCAGTGACAAGAGCATATATATTACTTCTTTGTATATAAAAAAATCAAACCACAATTTTGAAAAGATTGAAGAATTCACTATTTCAGGATCAAAGTTATGGCTATTTTCATGTTTTTTTTTCAAGTGAAATACACATTTGATAGTCACACAACTTTCATATGAAAAATATTCATCTGAAATTCATAATGGAGAAATTTTTATGGAAACTCTGAATTCATTCATTCAACAGTCCTTTTTGTCCAGAGAAAGAGTAACGTTTAGATACACTCATGTGACTGTGAGGAAAATTGTGTGATGAGGACAATACTGAATCCCACATACTATTTATTTCAACTTGTACTATGTATAAGTAATTACCTCTGGATATGTCACAAAGAAGGCACAGTCATCCAATACGTCTTCAAACAAGCCTTGAACTGAAAATCAGAAAATATCATTATATAAATGTAGTTATTGTAAAAGTAAAGAGGTAGCACATTAACTTAAATCATTATGAAGGTTCATATAAAGCTGGTATCAAATCTTATTTTCCCTCTCAATTCAATTAAATTTTCATCTGCTCTATAAGTATAAATGTAATATCAAGCCTTTTCCCACTTGATTACAGACCATTTGTTTTACATTTTACTGTGGTTCCTTTCATAGTTCAATCTTGACCTCAACACTGAAAAAAAAAGTTGTCAATCTTACTTCTTGTCAACCTATTCTTCTGACAATACAAACAAATACTGAAAATTCAGAAATTATTGCGAGGTTTTTATTAATGCGAATAATGCGACTGTGTGAGTATCGCAATAATAAGATCTGGCATTCTGATATCTGATGCATATATCTGTATGCAGCTTTTCCTGAAATCACAATAATCAATCTCGCATTTATGTCCATTCTTCAAAAATCGCAATAATAAATGCACACAATAATTTCTGAATTTACAGTAGTGGGTTTTGTTTTTGAATTTTTTTATTATAATCAACACTTTAGAATTATCAATACATCTACAGGAATGAAGCTAGAAAGGTTATCAATATTTTATGCTTATTTATGGCAGATGAAGGCTAACATTCTTCTTTTCAATTTTATTGGTGATAAATACTTATTGTATGACAAGCATAATCGGTAAGCATACAGTAGTCTATTCTTCACTCTTCTGTCGCATGTTTACACATGAAATCAATAACAAACAAACAATCGAGTACCCCCGTGAATAGCATCCTGTCAAATAGTAAAGGTCAGTACAATCATAGTTTGAAACTGTAATCAAATTTGTATGACATCTTTCTCAATAGTGTTGGCATTTCTCATGAAATTGAGTATTTAAACAATGTATTACTAAAGTTGGATAAAAATCAAAATAAATATTGACCATCTATAACAAACCTGTTTCAAAATTAATATCTAAATACTTTAATAATAATAATAATTTTTAAAAGTCCAATTAAATTTAAATGAATATAATACAGACCCAATATTAGATTAAGTAAGTTAATGTGAACAGGTACAATATTTTACTAACAGCTATCTATAAACCTAAATGATTTTACATTAATATTTCATAAGTGCTAATAAAACATCAGGTCTCTTCAGATTTTAATGTTAACTTTTCTATGCCAGTGTACTTTTAAAAGTCATATCTTAACAGTGCAAAATGCTTAAAAATGATTAAATACACCATAGCTAAAGAAAAGTTGTCATTCATTTTGTTCAACAAATGCATTAAAAATATTCAAAGCTAACATTAAAAAAACATTTCGTCAAAGTTTAATTTATGAAGACAATAGAATGAATAGTGATGAGTGTTTTAAATGAATTTGTCAGATTTCAGTAATTGATACGATGGTGCCTTCATAATGGGCCTTAGTAACAAGAAGTAGATTTAGATTCATAGCAAATCAAAATCAATAACACATTCAAACGCACCATATTACCAGCCATCACTACACCAAATACAATAAGATGTCGGCTTCATATTGCAATTAAAACAATCGTTTTGCTATCATGTACAGCAAAATTTTGTCTTCAATACAATGGATTTTGCAATAATGTAAAGCAGATTTTGATCAGTCTGTTACCTATTGCACCTGCTGAAGTACTGGTAGGCTCTGGTTAAAAAGAAGTGAATAAATTCAAGCAATAGGATTGCTATAAAAATTTAAAGATTTAAATTTCACAAATATGAGTACATGAAATTGGAGGAAAGGCAAATAACAAATGTCTAAGCATCTTTTTTTAACATGAAAATGGTAAATTTATAAGTAAGAAAAAATTATATGATATTTATATTTTCATCTACAATCTAAGGTCTGTAATCATTATGGCATAATTTTAATGAAAGATCACATTGTTATAACATCAGACATTGTCAGAGGGATGATAAACTTATGACGCATGCACATGTATCTGATCTTAATTTCAAATATTTTGTGAACTGACAAACGACAACTTTTCATTCAGAATTGGAGAGAATGTTTATCATGCCTCTGATCACTTGCATTAACTTTATTAAAATCATACCATGTTGATTACAGAATTTAAATTTTAGATGAAAACAAATGAAAGAGATTAAAAAGGGATTTTAATTTGTGGATTAAATTTATCATAGATGCCTGAGTAATGAAAAGTGATAGAAATACAATTGCCTTTGTGTGTTGTCCCAATCAACGGTGCATTTATTTGACTTAAACAAATCAGAATATGTAAACAACACGATACAAAATCTTCTACAGATCAAATGGATTCTATTGTTTACTTGATAAAAGGGAATTTCAATTCTACTGTCTTCTGGGACATCTATCGTTCAGCCTTCCTTCACAAGTACACTTTTGCGGTGAATACAATAGCATAACATTTTTATACTCTCATGAAAACAAACAATTCTTCATTTCACTCAGTACAATTAATTAAATGGGACTATGGAAATCAGGTAACTTTCACAGTAAATCAGAAATTTTGTTTCAAGCAGAAAACTGATTTTCCATTTCAAACATTACAATTTCAGTAATGGGGTAGTTGAAATCACTTAATTAATGCGATGAAATAAAGATCCTTTCAGAGTTATCATTGTAGAAAAACAATTCTGATAATCAGTTCTGTATAATTCTGTTGGCTGAAAACAGCTTTTAGTTTTGGTTGTCATTCAAACTAACCCTTTCAAATCTAAGTTTTGGTGATAATTGTGGAAGCTGCCTGGTCTCCATTACAGTAAAGCCTGTTTAAACCAAAAACCCTTCAGGAATTCATTTTCTGTTTAGATTAGACCAGGTGCTTGGTTTATACAGGTCAAATTATGAGAGAATATTCACTGTTACATGTAGGAACACTTAGAGTCCAGCTAGCTCACACAAGTTTCAAGTTCTCACAAGGTTAACTTTAGACTGATTTCCTCACACAAGGTTCCAGTTCTCACAAGGTTAACTTTAGACTGATTTCCTCACACAAGGTTCCAGTTCTCACAAGGTTAACTTTAAACTGATTTCCTCACACAAGGTTTCAGTTCTCACAAGGTTAACTTTAGACTGATTTCCTCACACAAGTTTCAAGTTCTCACAAGGTTAACTTTAGACTGATTTCCTCACACAAGTTTCAAGTTCTCACAAGGTTAACTTTAGACCGATTTCCTCACACAAGTTTCAAGTTCTCACAAGGTTAACTTTAGACTGATTTCCTCACACAAGGTTCCAGTTCTCACAAGGTTAACTTTAGACTGATTTCCTCACACAAGGTTCCAGTTCTCACAAGGTTAACTTTAGACTGATTTCCTCACACAAGTTTCCAGTTCTCACAAGGTTAACTTTAGACTGATTTCCTCACACAAGGTTCCAGTTCTCACAAGGTTAACTTTAGACTGATTTCCTCACACAAGGTTCCAGTTCTCTCAAGGTTAACTTTAGACTGATTTCCTCACACAAGGTTCCAGTTCTCACAAGGTTAACTTTAGACTGATTTCCTCACACAAGGTTCCAGTTCTCACAAGGTTAACTTTAGACTGATTTCCTCACACAAGGTTCCAGTTCTCACAAGGTTAACTTTAGACTGATTTTCTCACACAAGGTTCCAGTTCTCACAAGGTTAACTTTAGACTGATTTCCTCACAAAAGGTTCCAGTTCTCACAAGGTTAACTTTAGACTGATTTTCTTATCTTGTTGTTGAATAACTACCACATATTTGCTAGGGACAGAGACATTCTGTCTCATCCAGTTTTTTGAAGTCACTTGAATGAGACAGCATACTTGCAGCTTTTCCATTGAATGATATTTAAACAATGTTTTTATCCATTTGAATAAAGGAAGAGGAATTTAGCAATGACAACTATGCACGACTTGGAAATATCAGACACCTTGGGCTTACACTCATTTCATCTCTGTCAAGGACAACATTAGTCAAAGTCAGAGATAGGAATTCTTAACTTAAGGTGTCAGAGATTTCTTTGGTGTTGTTGGGTTGCTGGGTTGATGTATAGCCCACACTTACTTTTATTCATACGTTATAGTCTTGAAAGCCTTCTGATCTTTGCAGCTTCCAAGAGATTAGCAACTTATTGAATGTAAATTTATTCACTTTTGTATAACAAAACATTTATACAGTTGATTTCATCATGGTTGACTTTTATCCATTTCGTAGGACAGTGCTATCACATAGCCATACACAATCTACTATTATAACAGTCATATAATTCTAAGGTCATAATAAACATATTACAACATTGGAAACAATATTCTAAACATCATTAAACCTCTGATGACTTTCAAACACTGCCAAATTCAACTATTGTTACAACCTTGACTTGAAACGAAAGAAGATTAAGCCTATTCTAATGATAATACTATACTGGCAACTTTTTAACATGATTCAAGGGATCAACAGAGATGTATAGTGTTTGGGTACTGAAAGAGAAATTCATAGTTGATTTCTGATCAGAAGTAATGAATTCTTTAGACATTAATGAAAAATATTGGAAAACTGAATGCTAACTTTTGTTTCAAACAGATGTTATTGAATAACAGACTTATACCACTGAGCTATACACTTGACGACCAGAGAAAACACTGCATATATATATATGTTAACTATCTTTTTTCTCAATAGTTACAAACAATAGGCCCATTCTTGTAAAACTTCCAATTCTTTAACAGTAACACTCTCTTGAGTAAAAGTCATTTATATTTATTGTATGATTCAGTGGGAATGAAAAAAGTTTTAATTATAACATGAATGTTAACATGTACAATATGTATAGAGCCGCTCCTTGAAGGCAAAAATCTCGTTAAAAATTCATACTTGAAAATGAATGCAAACAAAAAAAGTTAGAAAGAGAATAGTACATGTATGTCTTCTGCTTTATGATAATATCTCCTGATGCTGGACCCTTCCACTTCACCCACACTCCATCCCCAAATTATTACTTCTCTAGGATCCCTTGGCACCTCTTAGAAAAAATTGGAAATAAGATATGAGATATTCATATAATATAAAAGACGATTGAACTATACAAAGATATACATATTTCGTAGAGGATATTCCAAAGAATATGTTTAGGTATTTATGCCAAAATTTACTTATAAATAGAGATTTTACAAGCAAATCCTAATTTAGAAAAACACTGTATTGGAACAGTGGAGTTGTTTATAAGGCATTTAACACAAACAACTAGTGGTGCATTTAGTATTTTACCCCCCAAATAAATGTTATATTACGGTTGGTTGGGGTTTAATTAATGCTTTACAACCCTGTCAAAATGATTTGATTTGATTTATCAAATAATGGGGAAAAATCAAATGATACAACTAATGATTCTTATCACAAAATATGCCTCTTGCATCCAAAGGTTATGTCATATTTGACCTTTGGGTCAGTAATATTCAATAAAACTCAATAATTTAAATACACTCTATATACTTTTTCATTCCTAAGATACCATATTTAAATGGTATAATCATACCTGATCAGATATCAAAATGATTGAATGTTTTTTAAGATCACTTAAAGTACTTGCAAAGCATTTATTTCTGTAGTTTAACTATTACTAAACATTTCTTTCACTTATTTGAACCTAACAAGTAAAAACTAAAAGGCTATGAGACTTATGTATCCTGTTTCGTGACTTTGTATATAATCTGATGTCACCAAAGCCATAATTTTCACATAAAATATTTTATAATAGCAATTTCATATTTAGTAAACAAAAATCCTATGTTCTGTGTTTCTTTACACTTATATTTAAATTACCACAAAAAAGACAAACAGCCACTGATCATAAAGTTGGTTTTTAAACACGTTAAAGAGATGATGGAAAATGGAGAAAAAACATGAATCTATGATTGAAAGAACAAATTCATATTAAATTTACAGTGAAAAGCTGAGCATAGTCATCATATATATATATATATCATACTCTAACAGTTACATAAAGTTCCATTATTATATAATTAAGCAGTTTGAAAATGTATTTTACTTAGTTTCTTTCTTTATAAATACACTAAAAAAACATAAAATTGAAAATGCACATACAACTTCACATAAATAGAAAATAATGATTTGCCGTCATTCAAATTCATCTAAATTCAAAGCAACTCAAAAATATACCACAAAATAGTTCTTGACATAATCTGAATGAAACTACACAAATGTTGGATGACCAAAAATAGTCCATGAAATGGTTTTTCAATAAATAGCTTTTAGCAAGCATTAAAACATATTTAGTTTCATGATGTACATTTAAGCCTTGTAATTACATATGAGAAAGAAGACGATTAGAGCTATTTAATTTGCTTACTTAAATCGTTTCACATTATTCATTTATATTGGTTCTAAAATGGATTTATTTCATTCAATAATTGAAGGATTTATATTCATATGTGGGTCAGATATTTGAGCATTTTTTACAAAAGTGAAATGAAAACTTAGAACTTTCAGTTCAGCATTATATATATGTAAAATTGTCCTTGGTGTTGATATTTCAACAGGCTTGCGATGAGATTAAGAGTTTATAACATATGAGTAAGAATTCCTGCAACTTAAAAAAAAATCAAATACTGAAAACAAAAAAGATCTATTTCATAGTGAAACAGTTAATGAATATTCTCACATTACCAACAGAAAAAGTCAATGCCTAATAACTTTGATGCTTTGTTTTCCCTATTGCTTGGTTCAATATCAATTACTGGACTGATAAAGTAGAGTCAACATCACTGGTCAATAAAATTCTAAATCTCAACAGTTTAACAACTATCTGGCTGCCATAACTTAATGGTCCTTTATCAATTTTAAAACAATTTATCAGTTAAAGAGAAGAAACTTGATAAATGTTAAACAGATTTTCAAGTGCATAACCACGTACTCAAAATTCATTCAATTCAAAAATCAATGAAGACCATTGTTTAAACTTAAATATCGTGAAGAAGAAAATATCCAATAGGAAAAATCATTTTCAATTTACAATTTGGAAAGTCGTATTTTATGCTCTATTTTTATTTGACAGAAAGCCAGATAATTGTTTACTGGATTCCATTTATCTAGTAATGCATTAATTAGTATGGTATCAAAATACATAAAAAAATATTGGCCTGAATTATCTGTCATTCATAAAAGTACATACATTAAAATGAATTAAGAAAACATATCAAGTTCACCTCCTTTTCTCTACAATCACTTATGATATTAATGTTGCCAGGTTTTACTGTTTATACTGTTTTTGGTGTCCTTGGCTGGCTGTCATAAAAGATCTTTAAAACTCCCCACATTTAAAAAAAAACTCCAGGATAAATTTTAAAAAAAAACAATAACAAAATCAACTGTCTATTTTGGAGAAAAAATCTATTTGCGAATTTAACAATCCTCATTGGAAGAACAGACTGTCATAGACTCATGGTCCTGACCTTAAGTTTGTGTTACTCAGTCTTAAGTTTGAAATTGTATATTTGTAGACTGATGATTGTCTTTTTGTCATTTTTCTTTTTTTGCCATGGACATGATGGATGGCGTCTTTTTGTCTCTGACTTATGAATTTCAATATCTCTTTAGTATCTTTTACTATCTAACATTATCTTCCCAAAATATTCAACAATTAACTAAAAGATGATTTAGATTTATTCTACGAAGATTTACTGACAATTATATAACAGTGAAATCCAACTTTTTATTACGACTTTACCCAGGCAAAAATAGTGATTATGTGATTATCATATGATCATGTGATTACAATGACATAGAAAGTAACTATGTGATTACAATGGCAACATTTGTGACTATGATTACAATGGCAACATTTGTGACTATGATTACAATGGCAACATCTGTGACTATGATTACAATGACAACATTTGTGACTATGATTACAATGACAACATTTGTGACTATGATTACAATGACAAAGTATGTAACTAAGATTACAATGACAACATCTGTGACTATGATTACAATGACAAAGTATGTAACTATGTGATTACAATAGCAACATTTGTGACTATGTGATTACAATGACAACATTTGTGACTGTGATTACAATGACAACATTTGTGACTATGATTACAATGACAAAGTTTGTAACTATGATTACAATGACAAAATGTGTGACTGTGATAATAATGGCCAAATGTGTGACTGATAATCATGGCAAAATGTGTGACTGTATAATTACAAGATATTCACAATAAGAGCCAATGAGAGTTCTAACAAACTTCAGTGTCATTCATAATCAGATGATTTTACTTCAAATTAAGTCCAATGGTCAGTAAAAAAAATCGGTTGACTTCCTTATTTTTACTCTCTATTCAAGGCCAGATGCTGTTTTATTAGTCCACTTGCATGATTACAATTCAGTATATAGAAGTCAAAGAAGAACCATGTAACTGTTGTAATTGGTGTGATCAATCTAAGATTTATAATATTACCATTGAAGGATATGAATTTGCAATAACTGATCAGCTTCTATTCAAATACAAAACAATTATCCCTTAATCTCTCCAAACATGAAATGGACATAATTCATTCATTACTTCTTCATGACAATATTCATAGACTTTATTGAAATAACTTGACAAATCTGTTAATCTATACTACCAAATGAAGGCATCATGTGTATTTCAAATAAAAAGTATAAATATTTATGCCCTTATATTTGTTCAACCCCATGAATTTGGTCAAACATACAAAAGTCTTTTTATGTGCAGAAAACAAAGCTCTTATTCAATTCTCAACAACGATATTAAACTATTTACTATTTGGCCTGCAGTATTACAAACTTCATTAAAAAACATTATAAGATATTTATAACCCACAAGATAAACAATGTTGTAGCAAAATCAAACACAAGTGAAAGTTATTGTCACCCTAATATATATTTATGAACAGTTTGGCATGTGTATAAATTTTTTATAATGTTTTGGGTTGCTAGGTTGATAAATATCAAATGTTATGATGAGAAAGCTACTGGCAATAGTCACCCGCATGATTAAACCTTCATAACTTTTACTTTTCATATATATTTATATATATAGCAAATTTATTCATCAAGATAATATATTTACATGTGTATGAAGGTATAAAGCAGATTTTTTTATGCATTTATAGATTAATAGATTAAAAAAATGTAAATTTATTGATGTTTAATATGTTTTATTTCTATTAATACCAAAATATTTCCATTTAAATATTTTCCAAATAAGTAATTTCCTTTTCAGAAAATGATCAAAGCCAGGTATGTTACTGAGAAAAATATAAGAATTGATTGTATATCAATTATGTCTGATATGAGCCACTTAAGCAAATTCAATTAACTACTTATGTATTAATATTGTATTACGTACTGTATATTATAAACTTGGACACATGATTTGCGGTATGTTCTGAAACTATACTTTTTAACTGAGAAACATGTACCATTAAATCAATCTATTGATGTCAGAAAAATGTACAAAAACCTAAAAGTAATGGCCACTTCCAAAGAAATCAAAGGTTTCATTAAAACATTTTCTGAGAACTTGTACTCCCTCCCTCTTTTGTAAAAGTTATTTTCCAAAAAAGTTGATAATAAGGAAAACATCAGCCAATATAAAATAATACCAAAGTGATTAAAGATGATTTAAACTTCATTCTTGGGGTTGAACCCCTTCCCTCTTCCCTGTGGTCAACATTTGGCAAATAGCAAACATCAACTTAATAAATGTCTTGTCAGAACCTAGTCTACTCTATTGGTGGCTAACCAAAGTTATTAAATGTATGCCTCATACTTTTCAGCATTATCAAACCATGTGATTAGGGACTTCTACTAAAGGCATTTATACCTATTTGATAATACTTACATTTAAGAGCAGTAAATGCAAGTTCAAAGGTCAATCTTTTTTCTTGATCATCTTCGAAATTTAGCTGAGGTATATCCTTAACTCTTTGTGACAATGTTTGTTGAATCTTTTTCTGTAATATTGGATTACTTCTTTCCTCTTTTGAGTCATGTCTAAGAGTTTCAAACACTTTGGCACCATTGACATAAACTTTGTGACTATACAAACATGGTTCTTTATAGAAAAAATCAAACTGTCTCTCACTATGAACTTTCACTAATAAATCCTGTGACTGCATTTTCATCTTCATCTTAGCACGTTCTCTTAATGCATTCCTGGTGGCCACATAGGCTGGACAGACAGTCTGTGGTCTCTTTGGTAAGTGTGGGGAGTGAGATATCGGAACTGTTATCGTATCTGCTGTTGGTGGCATTCTAATTTCTTACGGTACTTCACTTTTAATATATCACCATAAAAATGACAAGGGATGCTTTAATTATGATTGGTCTCTGTTTCTCTCCTCAACTGTCAATCAAATGTGAGTAGGCGTAATCTTCAAGTCCTTTATACACAACACAGGTGGTTACAGCTACTGTAATCTACAATCCAAATAAGAAACTGTGGTTAACAACAAACTTATATGGATCAACAATTATTGAACTTTACAGAAAATCAACAAAAGTTTTTCACAACAGTTAAATTTGGACACACCTCTATGAAGACATTCTAAATCATATTTCAATAACTCAACTGAGAAGTAGAAATTTAATTTAAATACACTTGACAAATTCATCTGTTATAGGTTAAGGAACTTCTAATGATAATATGAAAGAAGTTAGATTTAAAACACCGATAACACTGAGTAATAAGCATTAAGTGAATTTAATCTCTGTGTTTTGTAAACAGTTAAAAGTTAATCAACTCGTCGTAGGTCAACACCCACAGTGACAAGACAATAAACAAACATTAATGGGTATTGCCACAATAGGACAATAGTCACGTAAAAAAATAAGGACCTTGACAGTATAGTTTTTCTTTTTCCTAGTGAAAAGTTACTGGCATGGTTTGAAAATGAAAACAATTATCCATACAATGACCTGCATTTAAGTACAAAGATTAAAACTTTTCAAGACTAAAACACATTTGCAGAAGCATCATGTTATATGTACCTTTCTAGGTGAATAGAAATTAAAATACAATTCACTTATCAATTGAGGTATTAAAATCCAGAGATGCTATTGATATTGTTTGAGGGACAATTAAAATTTAAAACTCTTTTTCACTTTTGCAGTAACCTTATAGTATAAATTTGTATATAGAAGACTGTGATACATATACAGTATATATCTTGCTGATATAAAATCATAATGCATTGTATATGTATAATAAAGTGCACCTAAAATGGGTTTCACACTGTCAGACTTAATACACTTTCAATAAATGATATCTAAACATCTGATCAACTTTTAAATATTCATACTATTCATTCATAGTTTTTTTTCAAAAATAATTTCTTTCGTTATTTTTGTTTTCATTTGTTTTATTCAGCATTTCAGTACTTACCAGTAGATACAACTTTGGCCTGTTTTATTGTTTACAAGTCTCTTAAAATGAATTTTTATTTAATAACAATAAAAGAACAGAAACAGATTTCTATATTATCAAACAGCCCTTTTCTCAGGTTTCTAGAAACTTTAAAACAATGAAATAACTCTAAAAAAAGTTTCAAAGAGTTTTCCCCCTTTCCTTCGATTTAACAATTCCCACCTCTCCGTTCATGCAAAAAGTAAGAAATTTAATCAAACAGACTGTTAATATTTCATTATCAAAAAACAAATCAGAGTTATTTCAGATTTGATCCCCTAAAGTAAATTAACTAAAAGACCCTACCTGATCTTTTGTATACAACATTAAACTATATCTGTTTTACCTGTGCGATCAACGTAATGAATTATTTCTAATTGGTGGTGTCAATGTTAGAACATAAGGCGGCAAACTATTGATCATACTGGTTTCTACCGTGTCTAACCTTAATGATTAACTTCTCCTAGACATGCAAACCAAAAACACCAGGATTGTTTAATAGGAGGAATCAATATCAGTCGCTAGTATACTGTCAATGGACTTCAAGTGGATAATTGGTCATTTTTCTGATTAGATACGAAGTAATAGAAATGTTTAGGCAATAAACAGACCTATTAAGTCAATTAATATTTGAGATACTCAACAAAATAAACGGATTTTGATAAATAAATCGAAGAAAAAAAAATCTTGGTAACTATGCATCAGCCATAAGCTTTTCCTCATTTCACAATATTGAAGTACTTAACTGTCTTCAGTATTTCATGGGGGAAATACAAGAGTTCTGATTCATTGATGAATATTTAAATCTGGATATCTTTCTTGCCAGAAAGCTAAAAGTGTATATAGGTTGGGAAATACGATTGTGAAAACAATCACTTTCAATACACTCTTGTGTTTGTTGCTATTTTTATATTTGTATGTGAGGTCATAGTTCATTTTTTGTTCTTGCTAAAGTAAACTTAGGTATTGAAAGAAAGTCATTATTTCAGGAAAAGTGTGATGAATGTGTACAGAACCTGTTAAGTGGTTTAATTCATAAACAGCATTGCATTTAATAATTCAAATTTCAAAACTTTTGGTTGATTTTGTTCAACAAATTTTTTTTAGTATGTATGTATGTATGTAACCAAAACTGGTCTGTTTGGTACAATAAATACAGATTCATAAAAGGACTGGAGATTTGGAGCTATTTCCAATACTGTGGATTCATTATTATTTGTTAAATACCAATTTTTCATGGATTTTGCATGTTCAGGGGAACCATTAATTTTAAATGTTAAACAAATTATAAAATTTCTATAGGAAATTAAATATATATATGCAAATATTGTTAAAACCATGAAATCAAATAGCCACGAAAATGCAAGTTCTCATCAATCCACGAAAATTAGTACCCAGGAAGATAAATGAATCCACAGTATGACCCACAATAGCAAGTTTACAGAAACTGATATCTAGAGATCACATTTCAATTTTCTCATTAATTATCAATAAAATTAATCATAATTAAAGCAGCAATGTTGAGAACCATGCGTCAATCACATGACTGACCATCTTCGCTTTATATCTACTATCAACTAAACACTTAACCATGACGACATAATTGCAGAAGATGTCGCAAGCAATGCAATTTCCAAGTATTTTACTCAAATTTAATTCAATTAAAAACATTTTTAAGCCAAGATGTTTAAAAAAAGGATCACTTTTCATACTATCTTATTAAAAATCACATTATCAACCGGTCATAAAAACATGTTTTTCTTCAAATAAAAAATATTGACGCAATGGATATTTGACTAGACCGAAAATATCCTAGAGTCAGATAACTACCAGTTATGGACGGTCATTAAAGTTCAATAATAAGTCAACAAGTTCATTTAATTATTCATACATTGTAATTTGGCTGTGTATGTGTTAAAGATCAAATGGTTAAATAAGCAGGTAAAAAGGCATTGCACTTGATTGCATCAATTTTTTGAATAGTAAGACTGGACTTATTTGGACTTATGTTTTTATAACTGGTCAATTTAAAAGGAGTGACATGAAAGTGTTTATTTCATTATTCTGGTTTACATTTGCATATCACGTTTTTACACTTATTAAGATGGTGGTTGAACCTTCATGTTGAAGATAAATAACTTTTACTGAATGAGAGGCAGAAGATACCTAAGACATATTCAAACTAAAATAAAAAGTTGAAGGCAAACTGACAACGCCTTGGCAAAAAATTAAAAACAGTAAAAGACAAACAACAGTCTACAAAATACAACACAGAAAACGACCAAGCGACACAAACCCGCCAAAAACCGGTTGTGATCTCTGACATAAAAACAATTTCATCCATATACGTTATTCAATAACATGTGTAAAATTACTCAAGCAGAGGAGATTTCTTTGCCAATTTTTTCTGAAGTTAATATTCTTAACCTTTATCCTTATCAGTTGGACTGTCATAATCTTTGGTGCTACTAGAAATAGATACAAACATAGACTCTAGGCCTTAAACTATTATCCTTATCAGTTGGACTGTCATAATCTTTGGTGCCACTAGAAATAGATACAAACATAGACTCTAGGCTTTAAACTATTAGCATTGTCAGACTTCTATGAATTCCCTTAGAATTTGTAGTTACATGTATATATATATTATTCATAAGAGAAAAAAAGTATGAGAACTGGACATTACTGACCTAATATCAGGAGACAGAAAGATTTTTTTATTTAGAATACACTTTAATAACAACAATGTTGTTGTTTCTATGCTGTTTAGAGATGGTACAACATTTTGCCACTTAATTCCATTTTTGATGATCAGATATTACAACAAATACGGTGCAGTTATATTTTCTGTCCTTTCGGAAGACTAAAACAATTACAAGAACAATTTTGTTTGTGTAACATTGCTGATATGACGAAATCCGGTAATGCACTATATCACCGGTGGCGCAGACACAAGGGACTCCACTGTTACTTAATACACAAAATGTGCAAGACTGGAACTTTCCTCCAATTGACCTAACAGTTTTCCAAAATTCAAACTGATTATGTTTGGGAACAATCATTTTCATATTATAATAGAATTGAGAATTGAAACAGGGAATGTGTCAAAGAGACAACAACCTGACCAAAGAGCAGAAAACATCTCAAGGCCACCAATGGGTCATCAGTGCACAGAGAAACTCCCGCACCCAGAGGCAGGATTCAGCTGGCCCCTAAACAATAATGTATACTTGTTCAAAGAAATGGATGCCACATTAAACTCCAAAACATTTAAATGAACCAAAATTAAAAAAAAATACTCAAGACTAATAAAGGTTAGAGGTTGCTGACTTTGGACAGGTGCAGAAATGAAAAGTGTCCGGGGGGGGGGGGGGGCTCCCCCTATACCTCCAGCCAATGTGGAATAAACAAACACACAGCACTACGCACAGTAAAAATCAGTTTAAATAGTTAGAGTCCAATGTTAGAATAAGTAACAAAAGAAAAAAGAAACTAAGCAAAATGAAAATGATAAACATAAATTAACAAAGTACTACTAGCAGTTACTGACATGCCAGCTCCAGACCTCAATTTAACTGATCGAAAGATTATGTCTTCATCATATGATAATCAAGCACAATCCCTCTCGTTAGGCATGTTAGGGGTTTAGTATCGAGCCATCATTAATTATACTAGAAGAACATAACCCGTTTTTTATGATGTCTTTGAGGAAACTAAATGAAAACATTTAACTCTTTTTCTTTCTAATTCAAGTGTTAAAAATTTGTTTCTGAACAGAACTTCAGGCACATTATTTCAATGTTGGTCATCATTATACAATGACCACAGTTACCACAATGTCATCATTATACAATGACCACAGTTACCACAATGTCATCATTATACAATGACCACAGTTACCACAATGTCATCATTATACAATTACCACAGTTACCACAATGTCATCAAAGACATCGTTCATTAATATTTTTACACAAATTTGGACATGACCATTTTAATTTTAATTTCATTATTTCTTGGTTATTGACTTC